AAATGATCAAGAAATGAATAAATGTTTTCCATATGATGATAAATCTACAGTTCCTAAAAATACCTTCATATTGGGGGAAACAAAACATTTAATTTTTAAGTGATTTCAACATAAATAAAAATATAAAAAAAAGATAAATCAATTTGCAATTTATGTTGTCCTTTTAAAAAGTGTCTTAAACAACACAACAAAAAAATCCTGAAAATACACAAAATCCTTCATTTAGTTTAGAAACCTGAATGAAAGAAATCTATAAAAACACAAAATATAGCTTTTTTCACTCAATAAATAATTGCTGTGGTCCACTTTGCATAACTGACCCAAAGGTTGTAAAAAAAGACACACCCACACTCACACATATCCAGCTGTGCCCTATATTCTTTACTGAAACAGTTGTCTGATAAGTTGAAGTTGTAAAACCTAAAGACTGACCCTGTTTGTTCCAAACCTAGTCCTGCACTTTCACTTCTGTAAATGAATACTTGGGTCCATTTATGTAGTGGAGTAAAGACACTTCATCCCTGAGCTGGCATTTTTTAGAATAACCCAAATCTCTCTGTTTACCTCTTCTGAGTCTGGTTACAGTGACATTTATAGAAAAGCAGCATGTTCAAATTTGTGTACAGAATCAGCTATTTATTTTTCCAACTTTCACACTAGACTGTTAAGGACATTTAAAAGTGTTGATGCCAATATCTGGTTTATCCTGAAGTGATCAAATATTTAGAATCTGAACTAATGAGAAAATAAGTCCAACTCTCCGATCATGTCAGTCACTTCGAGCTTCAGGAAAGCTGAGGAGAGCTAATCACTATCAGTGTATGTATGGTGTAGCATGAGAGATTATGTTGTCATCATTTATGTTATATCTTGAAGTTACAATGTTAATTCACCATACTATTTTGTAGTATGTCCATTAACCTTTACAACCTGGATTAAATGAAAATGTAATTACATATACTACAAAATCAGAGATGCAGAATTGTTTTGCTAGTTTTAGTACAAATCTTAATATTGTGCATCTTTGTTTGGACTAAAGAATACAAGATAATACTATGCAGTAATTCAGACATGTATAAATGTTTATTAATCTCGGAGCATAGCTTCACTCCGACTTGACACAGTTTAACATTAATGACAATAAATGCTTGACAATAAAATTAAAGTATGAGTGCAGTGTTATTTCCACTTCATTGCCCTCATGATTCAAAGCTTTACTAAGCTATTTGTCATTTTATTACAATGATATCACATGTCTAATGTTTAACCAAACGTCTTTCTTGACTGTGTCATATAACCAATTGGGTAATCTTTTCCATTACACATATAATTGTTTGAGAAGCAAAAGCTGATCAGCAATCAACTACTGGTACAGAAATAGTCTTTTTTGTTGTTCAGAAAACACTATTTAAAGTTTAAGTCCCTTTGTAATAGTCTTGATGAACAGCAACTCATTCATTTCTGAAAACAAATACTACAAGTATGGAGTAGATTGAGTCCAGTAGGTATACAATAGAGTTGAAGATTGTCACGACGGTGATCAGAACCAATTTATCCCAGGAACACGGCCGGCCACAGGCCACTGGTCTCTTATTGTTGCGAAAAGAATACAGTGGCCACATAACCATGGCTGTTAGGTACATCACAGCTGCCAAAACATTACAGACAATCACAACCATTTCGAAAGGGAAAGGAAAATAGACGGTAAGTTTTCCAAGAGTGAGCAGGATTATGGTGATGGTGAAAATGAAACACAGGGAGTACACAGCTATACACCAGTTCAGCCCCGTGGCGTACTGGTGACCTGAATAGTGGCCACTTTCCAATGACAGGAAGATGAGACATGCAAAGAAGCTCTCCAGCATCTTCATTATTCCCGGTGGCGTGGAGAGAAATCCATTATCCTGTCCACTCGGGCGAAGGCGTGTTAGGACCACCTCAGCCACGTACACTGCAAAACAAATCCAGGATACCACAGAGGCTCCAATCTGGCGGTGACATGTGTTGCAGGCGAAAAATGTAGGGTACATGATGGCGGCACACAGGCACATTACACTCGACAGAATAGCAAAGGCAGCAGTGAAGTCTTCCCAGGCAAAAGGCGCTTTGGTGCTGATGGTGGTGAACTCCAGGATGAGGATGAGAAGGGTGAAGAAGCAGCAGAAGATCCAGGTGAACATGCACCATCCCCAGTATGGCGAGGAGTCAGGTGTCACTGAGGCCACCAGGCTGAAAGTGATGCAGGTGACAATGACCGCCAATATTCGTAAGATCCCCACAGGGTGGGTGATGGATTTCAAATTCATGTAGGCCATGGCTGCTCCAGGATGAATCTGTCCAACCAAATGAAAAACCTTGACTTATTTCAGTCAGTTCTCCTTTTGTAGTGCTATTCAGCAAGCTTTCCAATGACAGGATTGTGCAGCCTGATCTCGATGAAGAAATCCATGAACGCAAGCCTTCTTAGAGGTGTTGTCTTTGAAACAGAAACACAGGTGTAGAGTATATTGTTGCTGAGCATCTTAGGCTTATCTGTTCTGTTTATGGTACCTGTTTCAAGCCACTGATTGGACGCTGGATGGGTGTTATCAAGTAAGCTTCACAGTCTTTTCTGGACTTTGGTCCCTGATGCAAACTAAGCTTACAGCTCATATCTAGGACACTGACGAGGTGTAGGCTGATTTTGTGTTCATGACAATGATAGCAGTCTCTGTGTTCTCTTGAGCGATTGCTTTGAAACAAAGGTAAAATCATTTTAAGGCAATCCTAACTCGGTGAAGTGAATAACATTTATCCCTTGTCACCACAAAAATGCAAAGCTCTGAAATTGTTGAAGGACGCTTTGACAGCACTTTGAATTTTAAAGCAGGTCACTGCAAGACTGAGGAAAATATTTTATTGTTCTCCTAAAACTGACTGAACCAATGACATCTACTTTCTGTTGACAATGTTAATATCTGGAACCTAATGGACCTATAAACACACTTGTTTTTGGTTCAATTCTTGGGTCTTTTTACAATGGACTGAAGTATCTTGAGTTGTTCAAAGATTATTAGATAGAAACAAATGAAAATAAACAAACAAATGTTGCAGTATCAACAGAGACACCTGTCTCTGTGCTATTGTTTGTCAAACAGGTTTTTTCCATGCTAAACAATGCTTAGTTGTAGTTGATGAGGGAATAACATCGCAACATAATGAAAAGCTAAAAATACAAAATTCCTTTGTTAAACAACTGCAAGCAATGCTATCATGTTTTCGTAAGATTCATGTTGATTTAAAAAGATTAGAGTTAAGTTGAAGCATTTTGCTGGATGTATTTTAAATCATTATTGCAAACATATTGCGTGCCTGTGTGTCATCATAAAAAATCTAAAGAAAAAAAAATCCCATTATTCTAAGTAATTACTGTTGACTTACAAAAGGGAAAAAAAAAACACAAAAAAGTGGGTTTGAACATCCCAGTGTAGGATGAATTAGTTTTGGGTGTGGCTTTGTGCATGATAATCCTGAAACTACTGCCAACAGCGCCTGTAAAATTATAGAGGGTTGTGTCCAGCAAGTGAAAGAGACTGGAGGACATGGCAATTATAACCACTACAGTGATCTCCATGTAAGACTATCAGTAATCAGATGCTTTGTGTTTGCCATCTGAAGCAAATGGTTTTTTGTAGTTTGCCACTTGTAACAATTTTCACTTTTCATATTTTCAACCTTCCTTCCTCTTTCATAAACTTTCAGGCTACAAAAGTGGACCGCACATGTGCTTGCCAAAAATATATAGAGAATTCAGAATGAAATTAGCTGCGAGAGCAAAGCTAAAAACTAATCCTTTCTCATTCTAGTTTTGGATGACACATATTCCCTTCCAGCCTTTAATTCTAGTGCCCTTCATAAACACACTAACATTGACAAAGCAAACACAAAGCCAATAGCTGTTCTGTGTTGTCGTGTATCTGCACCATGACACACCTTAGCAAACATCATTCGTTATGGACAGTTCATTTACGAGGCTAGTGCTGATAAGAGCTTCAGTTTGTGACTTCTCAGCTGCAGTCACTTCATTATAAGTATCCACCACAACCTTATTTTAACAACAATTTACCAACATCTTATATTGTATGATTAATCATGTTTATTTTAGTTAATTTGAGCTAAAAAAATATGACTGGAAGACATAAAAAGAAGGGGGGAAAAAATCACTCTTGGGTCATGTTGTTGAACAGCACCTCACTTCTTAATGATTTCAACAAAACAAGTCTTTCATGTTCAAATCCAAGCAAAAGAAAGATTTACTTTTTGTCAACCAGCAAAAAGGGACATCTTGAAATTATACAGTACATCCACAATGTAATCAATAATGCTTTAACTGGTCATAAAACAGGAACCGCTAGCAAATTCCACCCACAGTTTATTGTGGGAGGAATTAACAATGAACTGTGAATCATGGGTCATAATTGTGCCTGAAGGCCTACACTCCCCTGATGACCTCAGCTGTAATTGTACATGAACGCAGTCCGTGCACTCTAGACAAACAAGACTTCCTAAAAGGTACCAGAAATAGGCACGAAGAGGGTAAAAATGAAGCAAATTCACTAGATGGCAATACACTAGTAATTGTGCATATAAGCTAGACAGATGGTGAGAAATACAAAAAGTGAAGAAGAGGGAATAGATGATGGACACTCGGAGGTTGATATTTTATCAGATATCTACAGTATGTTTATAAAATCATGCATGAACTTTATAAAAAAAAATACAGTGTGTGTTTGGTTGGTAGATCAGACAGGTGCTACAAGGTATAATGAAAACAGTAGTGGTCATGTGTAAATTATCAGTGGCTATAATTTTGGGTCAAAAACATGAGCGTAAAATGTAATATTACAAGTTGTTGCAAACACAGAGAAGATGTACCTTTTATGTCTATCTTTAACAGGCAAGGCAAGTTTATTTCTATAGCACCATCAATACACAAGGCAGTTCAAAGTGCTTACAGGAATTCAAATTTGAAGTAAAATCTTTAAGCTTTACATAAAAAAGACCTCAATACATCATGCACTTAAAAATATAGCAAATTTTACAATACATCTTTTAAAACTGTTGAAAAAAAATTAGGTTATTAAAGAACAATGCTTCAAAACATGCTTAGATTGTGATCAAGCTAACGGTTCATGTGATTCTTTGATTGAAATCTGGAGTAAACAAATATGCTTTCAGGCCTGTTTGAAAGAAGTCAGGTGGATGTTTCTAGAAGCAGTAGATACAGAAGTACAAAAACGTGCAAAAAGTGAATTTTGCGTAATAGATCCTCTTTGATTATCTGAAAACAATAATCAGTGTATCCTCAGTCTTTTATTTTACCACTCAGAAAAAGTTATGTTGAACACATAAATTCAAAAACAGAAGTTGCGATGTGTTTAATTTGTTTGCACTTTGACACTCCTTTGCAAACATAATGTATTATGGGCTGGAATCCTATTATGGGAACGGCATTGGTTAAAGCTTTACTTATTCCGAGATGATTGAAATATGTGTCTAAACCAATGTGCACCAGCTGCAGCCCAGAAAGCTGCACAACATGGTTTTAGCTGAATGTTGCAAATAGATCTGAAGGTGTAGTTAACTAGATACATAATTCATAATATAACTATATTTCTAAATACAAAGGAAATCAGCAGATAGGCATGTAAAACATAAATATATCACATTGTGATTATGCTGTTGAATAAAAATAAAAATTTTGACAACAGCTAAATTCCAACAAACACAAAACCTCCTCATTCAGATCAATGCAACTATGTGCTTATGCTGGAGTGGTGAAAAAAACCAACTTGAAAGAATATACTGTGTCAACAATATAAGCAATCAGGTTAAAATAGGTCATGACAGTGATAACAACAAGCAAACTCCAAGGACAGATCAAATAGCAGTTGCTCGGTCTAGAAACATTATTGAAGGAGTAGAAAGGCCAGATGACAGCAGCTGTGATGTACATTAGCACAGCCAGCACATTGCAGGCCGTCAGAACTTTGTTTAAAGGTGCGGGGAAGCGGGACAGCAGGCGGCCGATAGTTAAAATAATGACGAGGAGGGAAAAAATGAAACAAATGGAGTAGACGGCAACACACCACTGGAGACCTGGTAAATGCTTGTACAGGCCACTAAGGTCCACACAGATGAAGATGATGCAGGCCACGAAGGCCTCCAGAACTTTGAGCAAGCCCGGCACAGTGGAAAGAAACCCACTGATTTCACCAGGCTTGGCCCGAGTCAGTCCAACCTCAACAGCGTAGAGGATGAAGGTCAGGAAGGAGAAAACGCAGGCCGCAATCTGGATACCAGAAGTACTATTAGTGAAGAAGATGGAGTAAAGGAGGGACGCTGTGAGCACCTGGATGGATGATAGATAAAAAATGAGATGTTTAAGCTCGAACAGTATTTACAAGTAAAATACGTTTTTGGATGAGCTATTAGTAGATAAAATATATGGTATAAAGTGTCAACATCAAGAAAGAAAATTGAAGTACATATTAAGTTAATTATTATACCATCAAATTTAACAGAAATTGTTTAAAAAATATAGTATAAATTATTCAGATATTTTTCATTAAAATTGACAAATCTTTACTATTCATTGAATTTGTCTTTATTTTTCATTTCTAGCGATATAATCTTATTATGTCCTTTGTCTTTTCCTGTCTCTCCCTGCCCTTAAGATTTTCCTAAGGTTATCAATTTTTCTTTACTTTCATTTATTTTCCTGAAATGCATTTTGTATGAATTATATTTTTAACATTAGTTAACCTTTATTCACTCAAGCAAGTTTATTGTCCTCATTATGTTCCCTTTGCTGTTGACCTTTCTGATGTATGAAAAGTAAACACTATACCTTTAAATTTTGTTTAACATTCAATAAACTAAAAAAATATCTTATGACATCCCTTATAATTTTCAACATTAACATGCTTAGATTGTTAAACTTGAAGCAATCTACATTTATCTTCATTGATGATCATATTCAATTTTATGTTTATCAAAGTTTGCATGTACTAAAATGATACTGTTAGTACTTTGAAGTATTTCTGCAAATTCTACATTTTATATCTTAGCACCACAGAGAGTATCCAATGAGAAGGAGCTACATAAATGAAACAATAATGCACTGAAAAATTGTGATATTTGGTACGCACCATGAGGGTGGCCAACATGGCAAAGGCGGTGGTGAAATCATCCCAGGAGATGGGCAGCTTCGAGCTGAGGCTGGTGAATTCCAGGACCAGAATGATGAGGGTGACAGAGAAGCAGAAGCACCAAGAGAACATGCACCATGACCAAAATGAGTCCTCTGAGTGGCCCTGAGATGCAACCAAGCTGAAAGTGACGCACGTGAAAACGACTGCCAATATCCTCAAAATACCCACAGGTACCGTAAGCGTCTTAAAATCCAGCGTAACCATCTTGACTGTAATTCTGCCGTCGGCCTGCTGTTCTGTCGGCTCTTAAGCTCTTCTTCTTCCTCGACAGGCACAAAAGAGCATTTGCTTCTCGGTTCTTCCTCTTCAAATAGTAAAGCAAAAGTTTCAACACAGCAATGGGAACTCCACCCAGTCACTAAAAAAACCCAAACTTTAATCAGACCACGAGAGCGAAAGAATAACTTTCCAACCCACCTGCACTTTGAATCTGACAAATCATCTTGAGTTATGGGAGCTGAACCTTTGCAGTAGAAGGTTGAAGTGCCTTGCACAAGGACACAAAGACTAAAACAAGCAGAGCAAAGATTTGAACTACAGGATGAAGTCCTGTCACTGTAAAAGGAACAGAAGCGTCTTCACAGGATGTAAATATGAGATACAGTGAATAATGGACAACATAAAAAAAACTAAAATATTCCTTGTAAATTTTCCAGATCAACTTGTTCTTACTGCTCTGAGCTGGGCTCTCATAACACCTGAGCTGTTCCACAGACTGATCGACTCCATGTCACGCCACATTGCTCCAGTAATCTGGGCAAAAGGAGCCCCAACTATCCACTGAGTGCTGTACATGTTCATACTTTTCATGTTAATACTTTATAGTTTTTCAGCATTTCTAAAAATCATTTTTTGTATTGGTCTTAAGTAATATTCTAATTTTCTGAGATAGTGAATTTGGGTTTTTCATTAGTTGTGAGTTATAATAATCAACATTAAAAGAAAAAAAATTGAAATGAATCAATCTGCATGTAATGAATGAATATAATATTCAAGTTTCACTTTTTCAGCAGAATGTCTTTTTGAAATGAACTTGACATATAATGATCCATGAACAACTTTTCAACACTAATGACTATTTCTTGAAACCGGATAATTTCTTCTGAGTAGTAGTTGATATCGCATGATTGCAGAGTGCTAATTGTCAGCATTAGGCCTCCATCCATTGCTCATATTCCAAAGAGCGTTGTCCATCTCCATTAGTTATGATTAACTTGGATAAATTGTTCTCAAGGGATATAAAAGTGCCCTGTGCCATATTTCAGAAAAGATCAATGTGTGACAAATATTGGACTATAACTCACTGAAATGTATTTCTTGAAATAGGAAATTTTAATTGCCCATCATGTTTTAAATATTTTTCAGAACTGCTGGCTGGATAGTAATTCAAAGTCAATAAAATACAAACTAAATGTAATTATGTAGTTGGATGAAATATGCACCTGTACCTGAGCTACCTTAACAGTCTGTGTAAATCAATCTGGGATGACACTAGTGTAGAGAATGATGTATGGCTTACTAAAGCTAATGCACACAAAGAGGAACTAAATGTGGAACTTGTATGTTTTTATTAACATCTGCTATTTTGTACCAGCTGGAACAGAATCTATCAGCGCCTCCTGGGCTCCTTTGGCAACAAAGAAAAATGCAATAATAGAAGTTCCTAAAGAGGATCAGTAAAGTGTGAAACTGCATTGTTCTAAATGACAACCAATGTCAACATGTGTTTTAGCAAAAAAACAATTTTAAATCTTTTGCTGTGTTTATGCACATTGTAGAGTATCTAATGAATAATCCAATGTATTTGTGAGTCATTCGAATGAATGCGGCACAAGCTTGTTTCTCAACTACCTGAGCTGATAACAGTACAATGCAGAGTTTACAATTGAGGAATATAGATGGAAAGCAATCAAATGAAAAACTTCAAAAAACAAATAATGGACCCATATCAAATCAAGTCAATGGCATAAGCAGCAACAAGGCAACATTGACAAACATGATGATAAAGTGGTTTTTCTCAGCTGTGTTCCTAAAATGGCATCAGCTAGAGATAAGTATTACATACTGTATTGGTTGAGATCCTGAAATATCTCCAACTGTGAAACCAAACAATCAAATTGGCCCCCTGGCCAGCAAGTTCTGACTTTACAGCATTTGCTGTTAAAAAGAAAAGGTCAGCATCCAATGAAGCAGTAATACCTAAAGACAACCCACCGAGTGTCGCACTGGCACCCTGAAGATACCTGCTGCTGTTCCAAAAATACACCAACAAAACAACAACAACAAAGAAAAAAACAAATAAAACAAAACAAAAAATAAAAAACAAGTTTGTTTGATAAAAAAATCTATTTCAACTTCACTAAAAAAACAACATTATTATATTATGGTTTTAAAAACTGCAGCCATACTTGAGGAATTAGAATAGCTTAAAAATGACTCAATGGAAGTAAATAAATAATTGAAATAAATCTAAAGCTAAAATCCTTTGAAACAGGCTTATGTTTCACTAGTCAATTGGTTTCATTTTCTTTGCGCTCTGGCTCCCCCTTCAGGCTGATGAAAAAAATGCATGTGCATTTCAATATTATATTCTCTAATGGCACAACTTTCATACAACCGCAAAAGACCAAAGTATAGATTTGATATAAATTATATTAGTTTACTATTCAAGCAGACAGTTGAAGACAGTCAAATGCTGACACTCTAAAGAGTTGGATCCTAATGTGCTATGGCTAGCTCATAATATTTAGGGAGTGGCTCCATACAGCTGCAATTTAATAATAACATTTCTTACAGTGTTGAACAAATTGGCAAAACATCACATGTAAATAAACATAAACAATTATACATAGACATGGAGATAAAACCGCATGGATTCTCACCCTGTCTTTTATGTAATCAAAGGAAAATCATGTGTTCGGAGAACTACTATTCAGGCTCATTCAAAAAGCCCAAAATTGTGTTCATAATGAAGAAACTGATCATTTATTGTTGCATGAGGCAAAGCACTAAGTACAAGAATTTCATCTGAATTTCAAATATTTTGAAATCCAACATAAATTATTTAATTTGCAACCTGTATGTGAATAATTTTTATGATCTTCACCGTACATAGAAACTTCAGGAAGTGAACATTGTTTGCTTTGATTAAAAGATTAAATTGTTTGTATTTAGGGTGCACTAAGGCGTGCTTCTTTCTCAGTGGGAATGAGTGAAACTGTTTGAACAAACGGATGTGAAACCACAGGAGGAAGTTGACAAGAAAGAAAGCACTGTATTTATACAGCAGGTGTTTAACATAGGAGTGCAAAGCTAAGTTTAAAAATAAAAGATAGTATTCAGCTGTTTTGGGCTCACAAAGCTTTTATTTCTATGTGATTTACTTAGATTTGGGTGACTATTCAATTCATAAAAAAATGAGCCAAGAAGGCAACATTTTTTTTAAATCAAAGACCACCTTAGATTGGTAAAAAATTATTTTCTCTTAGATTATTATTTTTTGTGCATATATGCATGAAAGGCTTTGAGGTCCACAAGGCATTAGATCTTTTTTTCTTCCATCTAAGCCTTGCTTCATAGGAGGAGAGGAAAAAAAAAAGAGAAGGGTGGAACCATAGTTTCAGAAAATACAATCAGTTGCTTTAGAGGAAGCTTCGGATGGCATCAGATGGCATCAATGTGCTGCTATTTAGACTGCAACTTCCTGCACTTTCTTATCATTCAAGACCAAGAAGAGTGAACAAGAACTTACTTTCTGGCTGGTTTTTGGTTAAAATTAACGTGTAAGTTAAAACTTATTTTATATTTACCCAATAATATTGAGCTGCTACTACGATGTTAATTCATTTTTGGTGTTTTGATATGCACTTGTATGTAAATGCTGTACAAATAAACCATATCTCCCAAACCAAACAGGGACAGGGAGATGCATATTGTGCCACTGAAAGAAGCTGCTTTATGAGGGCATTTGCTTAGGCAAACCTGGTCTGTTTTGTTGTTTGTCTAAGCAAACTGGGTAAAGCTCATAACTTTCCACAGTTACGGGTAAGCTTTCAACAGGAAACCTCTAAAACCTCCTACTAAGCAAATTACTTTTGTTCATGACTAACACAGAGTTTCGGCTTCAGCGTTTCTCCATTTTGTGCAACTTTAACCGTCTTCCCTTGTAACTGTCACATAAAGATTAAGAATTTGCTGACAGTGGAAACTGTGGAAAGAGCACATGGACTGGACTTCCAGATAGTATTTTGAATTTTTACCTTTAGATCTTGAAACTGACTGGTTAAGTGAGCCGGGGTTTGAGCGACAGAAAGTTGTTGAACTAGTGTCTGAGAACCCAAAAGAATACCTTACTTGTCGAGACTGCGCCGCAGAGATTCAATTGCCAGATTGTTCTTACATGACAGCATTAACTGAGATTCTAGTCTAAGCAACTATTACAGAAGCCAAATAATTTTTCAAAAAGGTTTATTTGAGGAAGTGCCAGAAGTGAGGTTACAGTCCAGGCAAGCACTAAAGAGACAAGGTAAGTGGTTATTATTGTTTTGCTGAGATGATTTGGTGGTAGATTTTGAGATGCAGAAGGAGGGAAGGTTCCTTAATGTATCACTGATGAATGTCATTGATTGCTTTCTCTTCTTGCCACCTTTCCTAAGCAATGTATCAAATACTTTCTATATGTGCCAATCAGTTGCATGCTGTGTGGTCAAATGAGGATGTTGCTGGTGTTTCTTCCTTATTGTGATTAAACATAAAATTGTCCCTATATAATCTCCTATATATATTGTTCCTTTATTCTCCTAGGAAAACAGGACAGGGTTAAAAATGTTCAGTTTCCAGCAAGGTATTTTGTTTTCACCACTTTAGTCAGAACATGTGCTCAGTTTTTTTCTTTTCTTCAGCTCCTGCTGTTTTTGAACAAATTTTGTCACAACATATGAAACCCCTCTGTCAAACAAATCAAGGCAGTTCACATATAATTTAAAAGTTCAAAAGAAAGCTGTTCCAGTGGCACGAGAAGATTTTCACAAATTATGTTAAGATGAGTTTGTTTTAGCTTGTTTGCTCCTCCTGTGCGTACAACATGATAAAGTTCTGTGGTTTTAATCATTGTGCTTCAGTTAGTGGCTCAATCAGGAATATTTGTTTTATAGGTGGGATTTCTGAAGATGGAAAAAGGATCCTACCCACAAGAATCAGCTCCTCCATACCCTGGCCCTCCCATGGAATATGGCCAGCCAGCGATGTATGCTCCACCGGCCTATTCCACTCAACCAGGTTTCCCCGCTCAGCCAGGTTTCCCCGCTCAGCCAGGCTATCCCGTTCAACAAGGCGTCTCTGCTCAATCAGGTTTCCCCGCTCAACCAGGTTTCCCCGCTCAACCAGGTTTCCCCGCTCAGCAAGGAGTCTCTGCTCAACCAGGTTTTTCAGCTGTTCCTACTGGTAAGTGATCATTTATTATTTTTTTTCAGTTTAGCAGAAACAAATTCTGTTTAGCCAAACATTATATATATAAAGATTTATACATCTAAATTATGTTAAAAATTAATTGTTCCTTGTTTTGCTGAACCGTTTCTGTCCTCTCACAGACGTTGCTTTACCTATTCATGGATGTGTCTGCATCCATCTTCCTGAATGCAGACACATCCAGGAACATGCTGCTGAATGAGAAACATTTACTTCCCTCTTGCTGTGTGTCAAAACAAAAGTGTGCAGAACTTTCTACTATAGGCCAGTTTAGCTTAGATCAAACGCCATACTCACATGGTGACATGTTGGGAATCTTGTAAATCCATTTTCTTCCTTAGAAAATCCAGAGTTGGACTGTTTTTCTCAGTGGCTTTGGTGCATTTCGTGAATCATGTGCCAAACATTAAGTGCATTTCTAAAAACTATTTGTGCAAAACTGCACGGGTTACCTTCAAATTCCAGTTTCTCTCACAAAGTCCTTAGTTCATCTCTCAAAATTAATTGTCTGTATCATTAAACATGTCAGTGCCTCAGAATGTCAAGTACTTGTTTCATTTGACTAAAACAGTCAAATTCATTAGTCATGTTGTCAATATGACTGCATACTCTGGAGAGATATTTGAATGTAAACTGTGGCTAATCTTTTGATGACAAGAACTGTCATCAAAAATGGTGGGAGATCAGTGGCTAGAGACTTGACAAGACTCATGTTTATGCTTTTTACTGTAATTTGTTGACAGACAAATCCATTATGATAAAGAAAGCAGACCAAAAAGAAAAAAATAAACAAACTAGAAGTAGCAATAGGAACTGTTGGAGTCCATTCATTTCTCTCTCTGTGCACCACCCAGGTTTGTCAACCAGTTTCAGACCCGACTAGAGCCCCTCGGTGCAAATTACCTTGAGAAACAATGAGATTTAGTTATATATTTATATTTATATATATATATATATATATATATAATATATATATATATATATATATATATATATATATATATATATATATATATATATATATATATATATATATATATATATATATATATATATATATATATATATATATATATATATGGCTGATATCAGTAAATCCTACCAATGGCTGGAAAAAGCTGGACTCAAGGACAGCACAGAGGCCCTCATCCTGGCCGCCCAGGAACAGGCCCTAAACACCAGAGCAATAGAGGCCCAGATCTACCACACCAGACAAGACCCAAGGTGTAGGTTGTGCAAGGAGGCCCCTGAGACAATCCAGCACATAACAGCAGGGTGCAAGATACTGGCAGGGAAAGCGTACATGGAGCGACATAACCAAGTGGCAGGCATAGTGTACAGAAACATCTGTGCAGAATATGGACTGGAAACCCCGAGATCAAAGTGGGAAACACCCCCAAAGGTGGTGGAGAACGCCAGAGCTAAGATCCTGTGGGACTTCCAGATCCAGACAGACAAAATGGTAATGGCGAACCAACCAGACATTGTCGTAGTGGATAAAAATCAGAGGAAAGCCGTTGTGGTAGATGTAGCAATACCAAGTGATTGCAACATCAGGAAAAAGGAGCACGAGAAACTGGAGAAATACCAGGGCCTCAGGGAAGAACTGGAGAGGGCCTGGAAGGTGAAGACCACAGTGGTGCCTGTGGTCATCGGGGCCCTCGGGGCAGTAACCCCCAAACTGGAGCAGTGGCTACAACAGATCCCAGGAACAACATCAGACATCTCAGTCCAGAAATGTGCAGTCCTTGGCACAGCCAAGATACTGCGCAGGACCCTCAAGCTCCCAGGCCTCTGGTAGAGGACCCGAGCTCAGAGGATAAGAACCACCCCCGGTGGGTGAGAAGGGAATAAAAAAAAAAAAAAAAAATATATATATATATTATATATATATATATATATAATATATATATATATATATATATATATATATATATATATATATATATATATATATATATATATATATATATATATATATATATATATATATATATATATATATATATATATATATATATATATATATATATATATATATATAAAAACTGGCTTGAATGCCGAAAAATGATCAAAGGTTGCAAGTCATACATGTCTTACAAATGGAACAGATACAGAGTTACATTCACCTTCCAGCACTGTGGGAACACTTAGCTCACCTTATGGATGAAACCCAGAGAGGCAAAGATTGTAGCAAGAATTTAACTTTTTATTCTTGTCTGCAATCTGTACCCTCCCGACAGTTTCTGCAGTAACATGGTGTTTTGTTCTGACTATATACTTGCCAGCTAATGACTCATGTGATGCGTCTCTGAGCTATTTCAGAAAATTGGTTGATCATTGGTTGATCTAATGCTTCACACATTTACCTACACTGAAGAAACTAAGATTTCACTTGGGAGCAATTTACCAATTTATGTCACATTTAGTCTAATCAAGTCTAATCAGAATATATAAAAATATCCTTGCAATGTATCAACCACCCGTTCAAGCTTTTTGCATGTTAAGACTTATACAGTGAAATTATGTTTAAATCTTGTGGAGAAAGAAATAATTCAAACAGGGACCAATGTGTGATAAGAGACTGAAATTGTCAGAAATATCAGAAAACTGTACATAATCACTTGCATGATGTTCAAAAGCATTTGCAACTTGCTGAGGGGAACAGGAAATTGCTTTTTTGATGTGCACAAGTGACAACATGATTTGAAAATTTAACTATTTGAATTTTCTCAGAAAAATGCAACACAGTGGCTGAGAAAAACTGCAGAATAAATTTATGGACACAAAAAATGGTCATTGATATTGTAGTGAAGATGCAGATTTTTGTGTGAATCCACTAGAGGTCAGGATTTCTCCTTGGTGTGTACAAGTCCAAAATCTACCAAGTCTGTAGATTTGACAGATTCTCTGCAGAATCATCACAGACTCTCTCCAAAACGTATGAACATGAGTAATAATTGAGCAGTCATATTTGACCATTTATATTTGTGTACATACGTAATTACACACAGTTTGCGCACAATTTGTACAAATCACTTAATGTCAAATTATTCTATAATACATCATCTTCTACATTTTTAAACAATTTATTTAAATATTTTCTAAGCTTCTTTTTCTGCTTCTAAAGAAAATCAATCCTTGTTATCTTAGAGCAGAAGGCAAAGGACAAATTAAACCACACATGTAACAACAAACTTCATAGAATCCTTGAATCATTTTGAAACAATATGTAAAATTTTTGTTTTTAATTTCAATGTGTTTTGTATATTTCAGTAACTCACGTGACAATATCAACTGGTCTATATGACGCTCCGGGACAGACCTTTTGTCCCCACTGCCAGGAAACTGTGGTCACCCTAACGGAGCCAGAGCCAGGATTATTGACCTGGCTTGTTTGTGGAGGATTGTGCTTTGTGGGGTAAAAACCTACAGCATATTCAACATCTTAAAGGAGCACATAAAAGTCAAATTTCATTCGAATGTAAATAACCACAGTTGCATAAAATCTGACAGAATCCAATCTCCATTTCCCCCTACAGGTGCTGGCTGTGCTGCTGTATCCCATTCTGCCTCGATTCCTGTAATGACGTGAAGCATCGTTGTCCAAGATGCCATCATGTGATCTACATATACAAGAGGATGTGAAACTAGTCCCACAAGAAACTCAAAAAATAAGAGTTAACATTTAGGTCTCACATGTCTTATACTGGAAATGCCAATTCTTCTTTTTTTTTTTTTTTATAATTTTTTGTTTTTTGTCAAGTTGTATGAAATTGTTTTTCTGCTGAAATTAAAACAAGAAACACTCATATTAAACAACCAAGCATACACAGAGGCAAACAAAATGGGAATTTGGAGTATCCACTTGACCTAACGATCATATTTTTGGACTGTGGGAGGAAGTCGGAGCACTCAGAGGGAACAAAGTTGTGCTTGGAGGTGAACATGTAGACTCCATGCAAACAGACCCATTGCAAGGATTCAAACTTTTGACCTTCTTGCTGTCAGGGAACAGTAATACATACTGTACTGTGAAGCCATTATCCCAATAATGCCTTGAAATAATGGTTGTGTACAAGCCTATTGCCAGCAATATAAAACATATTTAAATGCCTGAATTCACACTCTGGAACCATAAGGGCTAATTCCATTATATTCTAAATGTAAATAGACTATTCCTTTTATTTGGTTTGAGAAAACCTTTGCTTCCTCACCCATCTTTTCTCACTCTCCATGTATGTATTTACGATTATTAATAGTCCTGTTCATGTCATGACTAAATAAAGCATCAAATACATAGAAAAATAAGTCTTCCTTGATTGCACTTACAGTAATGGAATACTGTGAATGTGAAGGCCTCAAGAGTCAAATGTAAAATCTATAAGCTTTCACAGCATCAGGTGGATTATGCCTATGGAAAGCAACAATCAACAGCTGAATGTGGTTAGCATGATGTTTCCTCTAAACTTCGGAGAAAAAAAGCCTCACTTTAATCCTCACTTTAATCCTCAAGGATTAAAGTGAGGCTTTTTATCAACACAGTGGGCCTGTCTGCAATAAAATAGGGCTATTCCACCAGGAAAGTGTTTCTTTTTTTGTTATGTGAGTGTACAGCATGGGTAAAGTTGTGAAAAGTGACTGGAAAATCTTATTTTTTTTCTGTCTATGACTCAATTTGAAATTTACATGTAAATAATTTCATAATTTTAGGCATTTAGGGCAGTGAATATCTTTGGTTTCATTAAAAACCAAAGATATCGGTTTGTATTTATGTCAAACTTTTGCATGTTTATTACTCGGCTCAAACTGTTTCAGTTTACAGTTGTGACACCACAGGACAGGAAGAAGTTGACGAGGCAGGAAAGAACAGTGGTTACTATACTAAAGACACACCAGGTGTTTAGCATAATAAGATTTAAAAAGAAAAAAAAAGATTTGAATATGTTTTGATCACATTGTTGTTCTTTGCAGGGTGCTATTTCACTCATAGATTTGACTGACAGTTCAGCTTACAAGAGAACAAGACTATCTTGGACAGACAAAAACCCATTGCATGAAATATTCTATTTTCATCTGATGTGCACATTGCGTTGCTACTTTGTTATTCTCGTCTATCCCTTGTTGCATAGGTGGAGAAAAAAAAGAAGGCGGAGCCTTATGTAGCTCAATGAAATAAAAATCAATTGTGTTAGAGGAAGTGTCAGATGCTCTTGCATCAATTAACTACTTTTCACTCTGGGATTTTTTGGAGTTTCTCATCACTCAGGACCAAGAAGACAGACCAGAAAAGATACCATTTATCCTCCCTTTTCTACAAAAATTAACTTGTGAGTCAAACTTATTTTATATTTATCCAATATTATTGAACTGCTACTCTCATGTTAATCCATTTTAGTGTTTTGAAATGTACAGTACAGACCAAAAGTTTGGACACACCTTTTCATTCATTGAGTTTCCTTTATTTTCATAACTATTGCCATTGCAGATTCACACTGAAGGCATCAAACTATGAATTAACTCATGTGGAAATATGTACTAAACAAAAAAGTGTAAAACAACTGAAAATACGCCTTATATTGTAGTTTCTTCAAAGTAGCAATCTTTTGCTGTGATTACTGCTTTCAACACACTCTGTATTCTCTTGATGAGCTTCACCTGAAATGGTTTTCACTTCACAGCTGTGTCCTGACAGGTTAATAAGTGGGCTTTCTTGCCTTATAAATAGTCATGAAAATAAAGAAACCCATTGAATGAGAAGGTTGTGTCCAAACTTTTGGACTGTTCTGTACTTGTTTCCAGTAGAAAACAAGCCATATCTCCTGAACCACACAGGGGGATGCAGATACACAATGTTCAACAGAAAGAGGCTGATTCATGAGGGGACTGCTTATTATGCTCTATTTGATTTAGGAGGAATTCACACTGAGATTAAAGTAAGGCCTGTCTCCAATGAAATAGGGCTATTCTACCAGAAAAGTGTTTCTTTTTTTGTTATCTGAGTGTACAAGGTGGGTAAAGTTGTGAAAAGTGCAATTTCCTCTGAATTTTAAAAAGAATGCTAAGTTTGTGCTACTTAAGTCTCCATTGGGAGTTAGCTTACATAAGAACACATTTGCGTCATTCTGTGGCTGATTTTTCTCCTCATACATAGTTTGAGTTAAAAGTTTTAACTCTGGGATTATTGCATATTTTGGCACACCAAAATTATGAGCTGCCGATGTAACCCAAATACACAAAAATACAAAACTTCTTATAATATCCCTCATAATTTTGTTTAATAGAAGACAATTGTAATATGGGTACGCACCATTAAGGTGGCCAACATGGCAAAGGTGGTGGTGAAATCATCCCTGGGGATGGGCAGCTTTAAACTGAGGCTGGTGAATTCCAGGACCAGAATGATGAGGGGGACAGAGAAGCAGAAGCACCAAGAGAACATGCACCATGACCAAAATGAGACCCTTATATGGCTCTCGGATGCAACCAAGCTGAAAATGACGCACGTGAAAATTACTGCCAATATTCTCAGCGTCTTAACATCCAGCGTAACAATCTTGACTGTGATACTGCTGTGATTCTTTCACATAATTGTAGTTGTAGCCTATTTTTAAGATGGCAATGCAGATTTATTTAAACAATAAGTCCAAAATAAAGAAGTTTCAGTGGCATCTGAAGCTTACCACCTTCAGTGTGAATGGGTGCATGAATGACTGAATGTAATGTGAAGTTTGCTTTCAGTTTGCTTTTTCTGTACAACACAAAGGTCATAATGGATGGTGTTAATAAAATGGTTCATAAATACTTGTTTTATAGGTGGGATTTCTGAAGATGGAAAAAGGTTCCTACTCACAGGAATCAGCTCCACCATACCCTGGCCCTCCTATGGAATATGGCCAGCCAGCGATGTATGCTCCACCGGCCTATTCCACTCAGTTAGGCTTCCCTGCTCAACCGGGTTATCCCCCTCAACCAAGCTATCCTGCTGCTCCTGCTGGACACCACGCAGGTATGTGGTCAATTCTTTCTTTCTTGTGTTGGGCCAGGGTAGGGTGGTGTATGTTTTTGTATAAACATGCAAAACACCTACTCCTGTACTTACTCTGAAGCACGCAAACCAAGTTTCTACTTCAACTTGGGTCAAATGACACACTCACATGGTAACATTTCTGATTCTGTTTCCGTTCTATTTTGGAAACCACAACCACTGAAGTGCAGTTGCAGCACGTCTGAAATATTTCATTTTGAAAGAATTAAACTCTAGCCAAGTTTGAAACACTAGCCCTGTGGTTCCCAAAGTGTGGGGCGCAGTGCCATTGCGGGAGGCGCAGGAAGCGGTATGGTTGAATGAAATCCATAGGGGTGCCCAGAAAATCTTTGGGAACCACTGCACTAGCCAAAGTCCTAATTATTATTATTTTTTAAACATTTCTAATGTAGGTTCTTTTATTTCCCTGCTCGTTAGATCACAACATCTATTTAGATGTCTCACCATGAAAAGTTGTCATTGCTCAGAGGATTATCACAAACAAATTGTTGCACCTACATCCTCTGCTGGTGACATTTAGTCATCACAATCACTGTTTTGCTTCCTTGCAACACTATTTCTCAGACAAAGGTTTGCTGCAGTTGCATTGAAGCAACAAACATCTGCATGCATTCTCTATATTTCTCCTTATAATGAAATTCACTGATCGAATGGAAACATGATAAGGCCAAAGGTCCGATAATACATTTTAGTGTCCAAAAAGAACCGCTTTGTTAGATTCTTGATGATAGATATAATACAGTATGTATCGTAGAATATCTTGCAAAAGTATTTATAATTTCTGACATTTTCTCTCTCTTTTTTCATGTTACATTTATGAGATTATTAGTATTGTAAAAGGATTTTTGGGATAGACCAAAAATCAATAATTGTAAAGTAGAAGTAGCACAAATTATGGTTTTCAAAAGATTTTATAAATAAAGTGTAGTGCATTTTTTCAGTCCTATTTACAATGACATTTTAGAGTAAATGAGTGTTTTCATAGAGTAGGCTTTCACATAGGGTAAAACTCTATCATTTATAACACCATTTGTACATTTTTATACAGATTTATTATATATACGCTACTTGTAATGAAAATTATTCTCATCTTAGAAGAGAAAGTAAGGAAGAATTTGACAAACTTTAAAATTATTTAATCCTTTTGAAAGACTATGTATTTTAAATTCAAGTGTGTTTTGTGTATTTCAGTAACTCCTGTGCCAGTTTCAACTGTACTGTCAGATGTTCCTGGACAAACTTTTTGTGTTCATTGCCAGCAAACCGTCGTCACCCATACAAAGAGAAGTGCAGGACTGCTGGCCTGGGTTATCTGTGCAGGATTGTGCTTGTTTGGGTAAAAACCTGCTAGATATTTCTCACCTTACAGGAGTAAATCACTGCCTGCATTTAAAAAAAATTGTAGTACAAATGACCACAGTTGCATGAAGTCTAACAGAATTTAATATTCATTTCCCCATACAGGTGCTGGCTTTGCTGCAGTATCCCATTCTGCCTCGATTCCTGTAACGATGTAACGCATCACTGTCCAAGATGCCACCATGTCCTCTACATTTACAAACGGTTGTGAAAATAGTCCTACGAAGGATTGGGTGGCTAGGAGGACGGCTCTGCTCTAATCTTACTTAATGAAAAAAATAAAATAAAACAAAAATAATCATATGCAAACTAAAACCAGAAATGCGAATTGGACTTGTACATGTGGGCAGGCATTTTAAAACACTTAGGATTATATTATGCTTTCGGTTGTTTTTCTTTTTTTTTTTTTTTTTTGCACTCTGGTGCTCTCTGCAGATTAATGAAATATTAAGACTACAGACTTAATATTAAAGAGGTTAGCTTAAAATTTTATTCCAACATTAGGTTATAGTTTTGGTTATAGTTCTTGTTTTTGGTTTATAAAAAGCTGACACTCATAAGGAGATTACTGAAGATATATATATATATATATATATATATATATATATATATATATATATATATATATATATATATATATATATATATATATATATATATATATATATATATATATATATATCTATTACACTTTTAAGCATTGCATTGGACCTAATTTAAAAATAAGCATTGCAGAGAGAAGCAGGAAATAAAGGCTGAAAAAATGAAAGTGGAGGGAAACAGAATCCTATAAATTATATAAGTTAAAGAGAAAGGTAGATAAGGGATGCAGTCGATAACTAATAAAAATCTCAACATTAGCAGATGCAGTCAGATTGTAACATAGTGTGGAAGGACGGCTAATAAATGTTTCTGTGTTCAAATTATGTTGCTGACAATTCAAGTGAAAATGATTAAAATGTTGGAAGATATTGTGAGAATGGCATGGAATCAGATTGAATGAGCTGTTTGCACTCTTTTCAATACAATAAAGAAACAAAAACATCTGTTGCACTTTTTAATTGTATTTATCACTGGAACAATGTGTACATTTAAAAAACCATAAATGAAAAACTGAAGCGAAAGTAATTACTTTTTTCCCACCATCTTTGGGTGGAGGTCTACTTCACTTAGTTTAGCATTTTATTCCTGTGTTCATGAAATGCAAAAAAATCAATTTGAATCCATAAAGGATGATAACTCAATGCAAAGGTCTCAAAGTTTGTTTATTGCTTTATTATGAATAAAAAAGTATGATACAATTTGACCTTAATGGTCACTGAACAGGAGGCAGAAACATAAATATATCTTCAATGGTAGTAAAATAACATCACAAAAAGGCAGAATAGAACAACAACCAGAATAAAACAAACAAGAGTCAATAATAGCAATATCTCGACTTCAGTTTTTTTTACACAAAATATTGTTTGAGTGACACTAGGACATTGTCCTTATTGACCCATCTGAAGTTACCAGTAGCTTCTAGATCAGTGTTTCTCAAACTTTTTCAGGCTGAGGACCACTTAAACCATTTCACGGAGTCGCCATTAAAGGAATCCAATCGCTATTGAACGAGACATCAACACTCTCAGCAGCTCTGATCTCATAAGTAGTCCTGGAGTTCTTATCTGCAGCTTTTTTATTTTTAAAGACTTGGTTTTATGCCAGTTTACTGTCATTACTTTTAACACAGTCCGAGATGTGGCATTGCACTTTGAACTAACTTTACGGGAAATAAACGTTCCTTTACATGCAGTACCTCGCACCCCACTAGGGGAGCCAACTTACTCACTATATGGTGATGTTCAGGAGATAAATAAATCCGAATTATGGAGCAACGCTGAGCCAATCAAGAATGAATCAAACTGCATTTTGGTTATTATTTTATTAAGAAACTAAACAAAGAAAATGAGTAATGAGTGAAACAAGACAGGAGAGACATCGCCCACAGATCTCCCCTGATAAGGAAGTTTTCTAAAACAGTTTTCTGATTCTTGCTTAAAATATCTGATTGCATCTGTGTGGCCTTGGACAGTTCAGGATAGATTCATCTGGAGCTCAAAAATAACCTTTATTATGTGTTTCCAGTAAGCTGCCTCCATTAATGAAGAATGTTTTATAGATAAATTGATTGATTGCTTGATTGGTTGAAATAAAACCTTTTGTCATATCAGTGAACACCCTTGATTTGTTAGTAACTATATGATCCCAGTATCTTGATGTTATTTGGTGTTATAATTTTATAAATGCTATAATTATTTATTGCCCTGGCCCACAAAAGACCTAACTGAGAGCTAAAACAGCGTCATCGCAGACATCAGAAATCCATAAAGTAATCTCTGAATCGAGGGGAATCAAAGACTTTTATCGGCCAAGTCAAAGTCCATGTCTCTAACTGATGGAAAAGTTGATGGTGGACCTTGAGAGTGCTACACAAAACCAAAACCTGGGGTGAACTGAAACAATTTTGCAAAGACAAATGGGACAAAATTCCTCAAAAACAAAAGAGAGACACCTACTTCAAGTTACTGCAGATTAAGCTTGTCCTACAAGCTATGGATTAATGGGAGGTACTTTGTTTTCTCATCATTGCATTAAATGTCATGGGAACTTTATTTATTTAATTCCATCTTTCAACTTCAAATGCAGAGAAACACTGCTTGCTCAAACACGCAAAACACTGCTTGCTCAAAAAAGGGTGCCCATGCTTTATATAGAATGTTACCCAAGTTAAATTAAATATCATAGTGTGATAAATGAGCTCATAAAAGTAGTTTTTTTTTTCAAAAACCTTACTAAAGGAAATTTAAGTGAGTACATTTAATAGTTACTACCCATCTCTTCTGAAATTTAATATAAGCAAAGACACAACCAAACGCTACCTGCTTTCATCTTGCAATAATTGTGAAAACATTTCTAAGATAGTATGCAATTTATTCTTGCTTAAAATAGAAAATATTGTATTTTTAATTGCAGTTCACTCCCAGGTAATTAGCGTGAGGTTGCCATGACAGTCCTCTGACCTTTGAAGAGCTTCAGATTACGTGTGTTTTGTCGTCACTGGGAAATTATGTCTTAAAGGTGAATCATTTACACTTAAAGTTGCAAAGAAACTGACAAGTATTGATATGTGTGCAAAAGTTAAAGCACTGAGAGTTACATCAACTTGTTTAAAAATGTCGAAATCCACTGAAAATGTGAACATTATTGATTTGATTTGATAATGAGAGATTTATATTTGAAAAGCTTTAAGCTGAATATGTCACTGTTTTTCTTTTTTATTGCTCTCTGGTCCTGGTCACAGGGGAGGAGAGAAAGAAAAGAGGGTGGAACATTGTCAGTTCTGGTAAAAGCCACCGCTCTGTCAAAGGCAGATCTTGATTCTATCAGCTACTTTTACATCTGGGATTTTCTGCACTTCCTCATCATTAAGGATCAGACTTAACAGAAAAATAGCTTATCGCTCTCCTTTGTTGCTGTTTTTCTAATTAAAATTTACTGGTAAGTGAAACCAATTTTATTCTTCATCCCTCCTAATATTGAGCTGCTACTGTCACGGTCATTTCTATCTGTGTTTTCTACTGCTTTTATATTTAAATAGAGTAAAAAAACAAGCCATATCTCCTGAACCAAACAGGGCGAGGCAGAGACAATGTTCTACTGACAGAGGTTGCTTCATGAGGAGCTTGCTCATGTTGCTCTAATTGATTTAGGATGAATTTACGATGATTTGTGCTAATAGAGTAAGCCTGGTAGCAGTGGTGTACTCCCAGGAAAGCACTTACCCATTGTTGCTTGGATAAACAATGTTGGTCAAAATGAGTAAAGTGCTCTTAGCAAAGCTCCAACATCGAGCCTCTCCCAAGTAAATGACTAACAGGGTAAATTACTTCCTTACAATTGTTGCATATTGCCATCAGTGTTTCTCCATTTTGTGTAACTTTTTAGCTATTCTCTAGCCATTTTCAGCTCGTATTATGTTACAGTTTAAGCATTTTGATTAAAAAAATGTGTTATTTGAAGAAGAAATGTTAGATAATAACAGTTAGGTAAAATAATACAATGAACACAAGTTAGTCAGCTTTCATATACACAGTTACATTTTTAAAACTTCAGCAATGGGAACAAAAAGAAAAATAATCAGGCCTCTTATGAAACAACCTGATAAGTAGATTTGACTACTCCATGTCAACATGTAACGTTTTGTGATTCAGAGAGCACAATAAAAAAGGGAAGGGAACTACCAGTTAACGGTGAAAAAGCCATTGATTTTAGAGTTTGTTTGTTATTAACTGTATATTTAGAGAACAATTAAGTTACTTTTGGTTAAGCATGTTAAAAATTAATACCAAACTTCATCCACCACCTGCATTTAAATTAATACCTCTTTTTGGTCCATAGACATAGCAAAAAATAAAAAGGGTAAAAAAATGTCCAATACTATTTGTTTCCTTGCAACTATGAAGGAAACAACAACAACTATGAAGAGCGGGTTGATAACTTGGATGAGGTCACAGGGTCAAGCCAATGACTGTGCATTGGTCATCTCTTACAACATCACTGATGTGTCAGCATAAAACGCATTTTATCATTTGGACAGAAAACTTTCCGGAGTGGAATGTGTCAAACCTGCACAAGAGGCGCATTTTCTTAGATGAGCTAAGGCGCTTGTGGTACCACATATACAACAAAAACAGCATATACCAAGGAGCCCAACTACTGAAGATATAATAGAAGATTTTCAGGAGAGGAGTACAACCAGTACATTTATAAGTAAGTAAGTTAAAAGCGTGTTTTTGTGTGAGAACATGTTGTGTGTGCCTTAAGAGCATCAAAAAGCATAGCAACCATTTTTATTCTACTTTCGAGGTTTCTACCAGAGGAATAAGAAAGAGGAGGAGGTTCCAGGTTTGCAAGCCTTCTGATGAAGTCTAGATGACCTTGACTTGTGTGAAAAGTGAAAAATGTATTTTCACTGTGATGACATGTCCCTCATGTGCTGTGCAGATGACAAAACTAAAGCATCTAGTTCATTTCCATCAATCCAGTTTTACTTGTGGGTTGTGGAGATTCACAGACATACATGCACTGTGTTCATGTTTCTAATATCTTATTTTGTAGTTGTCTTGTTCAGTCAAAAACAGTGGTTGAATAAAGCTTATTTTCAATACAAAGCTTCATGACTCATTTGACTTGACTTTTAATCAGCGGGTCAATTTGACCCAGAACAGAACAGGTGTCTCAAGTTCAATTAGAAAGTTAACTTCTTGGAAAAAAATAAATCACTCAAACTGAACATAAAAAAAAAATAATTCAAGAATTATCATAGTTTTTTTGTGTCTAGGTTTTATCAGTGGATATGAGAACTATAATGTAAATTCTTTTAGGAAAAGAGATTAAACTGTTGTCACTGATCTTTTATCTGTGAGAAATAAAAAAAGAAAATCAATGCACAAATATTAATTGAAATAGTTAGTATTGGAGTTTTTGATACAAAAATGTCTAGGGGAATTTTTATTTTTTGTTTTCTGATAGTAGAGAATGGTGAAACATTCTACTGGTCAAATTGATGATACCAAGTTACCAAGATTTATACGAGGCCACGTTATTTAAAACAGTTGTGCTCAAGCAGAAAATATCTAAAACATTAAAGAGACCTGAAACATCAAGTTTCCGAGCATCTGTTTCTGCCCTCAGTCTAAATGTCATGGGAATTCATGATGTTAGATGGACCTTTTAATTGGGATTAGAAATTTGTCTGACTGTGCCTTGCCATTCAAAAGTGGGATAGCGAGGCTCAGAGTTCCCTGCATCTATTATCAAGAAAAAGCTGAACTAAACTGAGCAATAACTCAGAAACAGAGTCAATGCTGTTAAATCTACTTTTGCAAAACAAACAAAACAAAAAAGAACATGCGAGTAATAGTAGAAGAGGATGCAGTTCAAAATGTACAGTTTCCACCACTTTGGTTATAGTATGAAAATGTCTTACTTCCTCTGTCTATAGGTCTTCGGTTTACAGGGGTCTTCAAACACCTTCATCACAAGACACGCTGTTTTCACTCAAAACCTGAAACTGTTGGTTGTATGTCACAAAGCCTGTGGTCTCACTTCTCCTTTCACATGTTTAGGATCAAAACTTAGCAGTTTCAGTGACAAAAGTAGTTTACTTTGCTTTGTTTGTATTTTCTGTACAACACCAGAACTGCCACAGTCTGTGGTTTTAATCATTGGCTTTTATATAGTGGTTTCATATATAATATTGGTTTTACAGGTGGAATTTCTGAAGATGGAAAAAGGAACCCAACCACAGGATATGGCTCCACCCTACCCTGGCCCTCCACTGAATTATGGTGGTATGGCGCCTCAACCAGGCTTCCCAGCTCAACCAGGCTTCATGACTCAGCCAGGTTTCCCAGCTGAACCAGGCTTCCCAGCTCAACCAGGCTTCTCCGCTTCTCCTGGATACCAGGGAGGCATGTGGTCACTTCTTAACTTTCTAGTGTTTCACAGCATGCTCTATAAAATGCAGAACAAAAAGAATCTTAAAATATGGGAAACATACATTGTTTTTTGTTTTTTTTAAGACAGTTTGTCAATGTTTTGCTGAACTATTTCTCTCCTCTTGCAGGTGTTGCATTTGCTCCTGCTGTAGTTACACCTGCAGGTGAGGCAGCCTGTCCCAGGAACACACTGTTACATTGAAAACAAACATGTCTTCCTATGAAAGCGAGCAGAACTTTGCAGTTTAGATCACACATCACAATAAAATGCTCTTTCCGTTCCACCACCACTTCAGTGGGCCGACACATGATTGAAATCTTTCATTCTGAAAGAATGGGACTATTTGTGGCATTTGGCCTTGACAAAAAGCTTTTGTTCTCAGTGTATTCCCAGCACAGTCCCTTTCTGAAAACTGATTTGTTGACAAGAAATTCCCAATCATATTTTGTTTGTCCATTAAAGAGAAAGTGAAAGATTATTTTTCCATTAGTCTGTCAGCAATAGTTTGACCAAAAAGAGCAGTCTGACACACACTACCAAAATTCCAAATTATTATATTTCACATTTTCCTCTGTTCTTTCCTTACTCTGTAAATTCCTTACTTTGTAAATTAAGACAAATGCCTGAGTGATGCCAATCTGTCATTTCTTAGAGGATGTATATTTTATTACATAACGTCTACATTCTGTGCTGGTGAATTTTAGTCACTGCAAACGCTCTTTTCTCCTGAGATGTAATTGTTGTTGCTTATGGGAAAAAGTCAAGATTCCATAAATGTCTTCAGTGTTTTTTTCCCCATAAAATACAAACTGGAACTACTTTAATATAAATGCCCACACAAACTCATAAACTCATAAAGCAAAGAGGCTACAGTTTTCCACATACATCCACTAGAGGTCGGGATTCATCCTTATAATAAAAATCACTGATAGAATGAAAACTTGACATTGACAAATGTTTGACAAACAGCACAACAAAGGTGCTGTTCTTAAAAAATCCCTTCATTACATTCCCGATTTCTGGTTTTTCAAGGTACTGCAAAATTGTCCATAACCACATGATTGTAAAGTAGAAGAATGACTCATGATGAATACAAGTTTGAAGATTATAGACTGTATTTTTATGGAGTCCAGTTACTATGGCTGATGGATTCTTGTACATAGAAGATATTTATGTGAATCTTCACCTTCCCTAAATACACAACCACAGCTATACTTAAGATTAAAGCCCCTGCACATGTTAGAGTGGCCCAGTCGAAGTCAAGACATAAATTTTATCACAAGAATCTGTGGAGACATTTGAAAATAGCTGTCGGTCCAGTCTGATTGAGTCTGAGCAGTTTTGAACAGAAGAATGGACATACAATTAATTCCCTGAAATTTAAAGTCTTGAAGAGATATTTGTTAAGAGACGTTATTCAAACTGCACACAGTTTGCACACACAGAGCAAATGCCATCTTAACAAAATTTGTCTATTTTTAAGACTGATTCATTTGAATTTTTTTTAAAACCTATTCTACTATGAATAAAAATCTATTTCTGACTGATATCTTAAAGCAGAAAGAAAAAAGAATTTAACTGCACATGTAATTCTTGAATTTTTTTTTGAAAGAATATTTAAGCTTCTTTTAATTTCATTGTGTTTTGGGTCTTTCAGTGTCTCACGTTGTAGTTGCTTCAACACTGGGAGACGTCCCTGGTCAAACTTTGTGTCCTCACTGTCAGCAAACTGTGATCACCCAGACAGACTACAAGTCAGGAATGTTGGTCTGGGCTCTTTGTGGAGGAATGACCCTCATGCTGTAAAAACCTGCTCATTGTTCAATATCTTGGGACTTCAATTTCTTTAAAAATAAATACAAATAACAACAATTGACTAGAGTCTAACAGAATTTCTCATTTTTTCCACATACAGATGCTGGCCTTGCTGTTGTATCCCGTTCTGCCTCGACTCCTGTAAAGATGTGGAGCATCGTTGTCCAAACTGCCAAAATGTCCTCTACATATACAAACGGATGTGAAATCACAAAAACACACACAAAAAAAATTTAAATAAATAAGTAAATCACTGCAATCCTCTTCCTTTACTTTATAAATACAAATAATAATATATATTTTAAGTTCAAAGGGGTACAGCTTGCACTCATATGTGTGATTAGGTATTTCAAAAGAAGTTACGATAAGGCAATCAAAGGACATTTTCCTTTTAATTCTTCAATAAAAGAATTGTTTGCTTTCATTTTGGTTGTCACATATTTTGTTCAGAATATTGGAATAAGGGTGAACAGAAAATGGATGGATGGATGGATGGATGTATGGATGTATGGATGTATGGATGGATGGATGGATGGATGGATGGATGGATTGATGGATGGATGGATGGATGGACGGATGGATGGATATTTTTTATGCTGATCTGCTTCACACAGATTTTCAGATGAAGTTAAAACAAAAACAAAGATATGGAAAGGTTATTTTCTGTAAATGAACACATACATAGTTTTGATACCTGTTCATCAAGATGGTTAGAAAAGCAAAATTAATAATATAATATAATATAATATAATATAATATAATATAATATAATATAATATAATATAATATAATATAATATAATATAATATAATATAATATAATATAATATAATGAAATAAATGTCACTTAACAAAAAGTATAAAATTAACAGTTTTATGATGTGTTTCTTTAAAAAAACAGCATTTCCAAAACAATGTCATGCTGGCAGTAAAACATGATTTTCTTTCCACTATTTTTCACAAGTAGGGGTTTTTCCTGTGCTGCATATTTGACCATACTGTGCAGTGTCTCTTATTTTTATTGATACCTGTATCTGTGTAAGTGCATTTGGCTGGAACTACTGATGACACACAAAGGGACAATGAAGGATAATTTTATACTATCCTATTCTAAGAGATTAAATATCTATTGTTCAACATGCCATCGTCAATTAATCTGGTGAGTAGTAATAGAAAATAACTTTTAGTTACAGGTTTCTGTAATGTTTTGATTGTATTAGCACTTTCCATACGTTTCCAGTTTATGAGAAAAAAGTAAAAGATAATAATAATAAAAAGAAAAATAATAATAATACTTTTATACTAGTTTTTTTTTTTTTTACAATAAAAATCGACGAGGTCTGAGCACAAGTTTGTCACCGCAAATGATCTACGTTTGTAGCATGATGTGACGTCATCACGTGATCCAGTCAAAGACTCAGCTGTTGGACGGTGGATTCAAAGATCGTTGGAAATGTTGTAATTCAGACCTTCGAACGTGGACATAAAATCTCAAATTAGGTGTGTCACTGCTCCGATTACAACCGTATTGCACAAATAAATAATAATAAAAAAAAATTCACCCGATCCAAAAAGAAAATAAACACATGAGAGAAATAAAGTTATATTTTTTGGTATTAACAAGTTTTAGAAAAATCGTTTATACCAATTTATAAATGACTAACGTTGTGGTGTTTATCGAAGGATGAACTGGAAGCCCAAACTTTCGGAGAGCACCCGAAGGCAGCACGAGACGAGCTAGGAATAAATAGGAAGATATCCACGTAGCTTATATGTCCGTACGCCGTTACAAATGTGTCCGTTTATTTAACGAAAACGTATCTTAATTTAGGGGATATATGCGTTCATAGTGGCGGGGTAACGCGGACAAAACCCCACACCGGCCGGTCCTTTTTGCTGTAAGGGAAAAAGGACTAAAAATGGAGCTGGAAGACGGAGTTGTGTACCAGGACGACCCGGGGACATCTGCGATGATGTCGGAGCGGGTCTCGGGCCTGGCCAGCTCCATCTACCGCGAGTTCGAGAGGCTCATCGGGAAGTACGACGAGGACGTGGTGAAGGAGCTGATGCCGCTGGTGGTGGCCGTCCTGGAGAACCTGGACTCGGTGTTCGCGGAGAACCAGGAGCACGAAGTGGAGCTGGAGCTGCTGAAGGAGGACAACGAGCAGCTCATCACCCAGTACGAGCGGGAGAAAGCGCTGAGGAAACACGCGGAGGAGGTGGGCTGAAAGGGAGAGGGGGCACGAAACAAACAAACAAACAAAAATAAGCTGTTGTCTTTGTGGAGGTTAGCGAGAGCCGCCTGAGGTGCATTCTCCTCCCAGCATCCCTGAGTGGTGAATCCACGTGGCGTGGCAGCATCCACAGAGCTCCCTGAGGATGTAAACAAGACCAACAGCAAACCCAGTAGTTATAGTCGACGTGTTTTCTGGTGAAGGAGTGAGTGCAATAACACACTAGTCTCTATGTAGTACACAAGCACATCCCAAAAAGCAATGTAGGCTCAGCCTTCTTTCAGATACACTTGTAATATTCGAGCTTAGTCATTGCATCAGGTAGTGAAGTCACGTCTGAGTCCCCAGAATGAAGGAGCAGGTAACGTGACTCAGCGATTTGGGCCCTCACTCTCCTTTATTGGTGCACGTCTAAATGCCTAAAACAGATAGGCATAAACAACATGCAGCTGTTGATATGAATTTACCTAATCATCACTAATGTTAGGTGGGTTTTTAAATAGTCAAAAAACAAAAGGAAGGCATTTATTGCTGGTATAATTAGCACAAAGCTGAATTACTTTCAGCTGGGGTAAGAATAAAAATGATACTGACTGTTTAGTTTTACATTTTTGAGCATTATATATTTTTAAGTTCTGCTTTCAGGATGATGAAAGTAAGTACAATGAACCTTTATAGTTTACGTATTCTTAAATAAAAAAAAAGCATAATTCCTAATGTCAAATATAAGACTGAGTTGCGAACAGTAACTGGCTACACTTCAGTCATAAGTGAAACACTATAGAGAAAAAAATGCAATTTAAATTAATCTACTAAAAGATGCACTAATTTTGTAAATGTTTATTAAATCAATTACAAATAACATAATGTCATTTAAGATTTTTTCTTGTTTGAATTTTATCTATTTATATATTCACATGATCTTCACAATCAGTTGTGAGTAGTTTGGGTGCTTCTACATATAGTCTGACTCTGCACACTAATACATACACAGGCAGCTTAACAGTGAATGTGTGGGCAAACTCGGAAAACATGGCAGGGAGACAACTTGTCTAACCTCAGAGTTCATTCAGGATCAAATACTTAGAAACATTGCCAGTTGATATGGTAATTCTCCCTAAAATTAGTAATTTGAAACATAATGGTGTAAAAAAGCAGTTGTAAGGTCTGAAAAAATGCTAAGAAAACAATGCAAATGTTAAATGCATATGTTCACACATTTTTGCCTGCTTCTATTTCATCTTTTTCTAATGTCAATTCACACTAATATGTGAACAAATATGCATTTATTTTAGCTGAGTAGTTCTATTTTAAAGAATTATGGAAAAAATAGTCCTATTATTTATTAGAGTTGTATGACCACACATCTGTACACAAACTATGAGGAGAATATAGGGAATTACTTTATATTGTACACTGTCAAAGCAGGAGCCAAACTCCTATTGAAGGCAACTACAGAAATCAAAAGTGGGTTGCAAAATGACAAAAAAGAAGGTATGAAGCTACAGTAGAGATGGTTATCTGTGGTTAAGCTATAACCTGCTAACAGTGTTATTTCAGAATATCAATTGATGATTATTGCATCAATTGATAAGCGTTAGGCTCTTCCCAGCCTAATGCTTTCCTTTCTTCAGCAGTGGTTGCAAGCTATATTTTTATTGTTTTTATTATACTATTACATTATTAAGAGTTGAAATCAATGATCTCTGCTTGTGGTGTTTGAGTTATGTAGTAAAATGCTGCTTCTTCAACTGCTGGTGTGACGCTTTTTATCATTTTTGAGCTTCCATCATGCAAACCTTGATTTTGTAATCGCTGTCTTTTGTCTTCCATCATTCTAATCTAAAAGCTTTAGTAGAACCATCACATAGATACAATCACATTCCTTTTCAGGGATTTGGAAAGCTCTTTGAAGGCTGCTGTGATGAAGCCTATATTGTAAAAAAAAAAGTGAAATAGCCTATGCATTTCATGCAAGCTCCTTTTCGTTACAGCACACTGGCAGGATACACGTGCATACTCGTCATTTGTTTTAAATATTCTAATTCCCAACTTGTGCTCGTGTTTGTTTATGGTGTTTGCAATGAGCCACAGTGTTGCATAAACGTCGATGTGATGCGAGTCGGAGCGTCTGTCACAGTTTGTGTCTTTGGCCCACGGCTCTGCCACAGTGGGGAAGCTGTCCCAGAATGCAACACACGCTAGCTAACAGAAGCAGGGAGACATGAGACACAAACACACACAGACAATAAATTCAGTCCTAACACAAATGGTTTAAAATAATAAAAAAGATGCTTTTTTTAGATTATTGATGGTGATTTTGTGTTTGTGCTTAATTTCTCTGTGGTAGAGTGAATGGGAAGGGACCCGTCCAGCCTGCTGGTTACTTCCAGGTCATGTGATCCTTTGTCAAATTAGAAACATCCTTCATTTTTTTTTCCTTTTTCCTATTGTCTTACTGTTTTGGTTTTAAGCGTCAGCAGACAAGAGCCCACTAGAAGAAGGACGCTGCTTCTAGATGAACCTAATTTATTTTTAGCATGTAATTTTAATTCATGACGTAGTAACGTCAGAAAAGTAAGCTTCCACAAACAGTCTTTTACTGGCCTTTACAGCATGATTAGCTCTTATTTAATGTTATTCTCAATTTATTTTCTCTTATACACAAATGTGTTAAAAGACACAGAGGTAAAATTAAGTGATATAAATTAATTACTAGATAAAAGTAATTGATTTTGTGTACGTTCAGGGATCTAGCCAGCAGAACAAATAATGCATCCCAGTTCATAACTTTGTCACTGAATCAGCAGTGAGATTATGGATTTGATTTTCCTTCCAAGTTAGCTTTAGTAGCTGTTTAAGATCAGAGTTGTGCTGTTATTGATAGTACAAAATTTTTACTTTAGATATGTAATAAACACATTTATTTTTAAAGCAATTGACATTTAATGAAGGCATTGTTTTAACTTTGCATTTATTCTAAGTGCAAGGCTGTTTCAGTATTTGTTATTCAAAGCAAAGGAAGAGCTGTGTGCCAACAGGAAGAAGGAGAGCGACATCAGGGTCTTGGCTTCCTTGGCTGGACAGGAAGTGGATGTATGCAGATACCACATATTTTCCCATCAGGGACTCTGCCCAAAGGGGACCAGAAAAACGGAAATATATTATCTATAACTCAGACATTTCTAAATCATTTAGTATAGAAACAGTTAATGGTTCCTTATAATCTTGATGATCCTATGTAACAGTGGCGTTGCTGCTAAAAAGCAAAACAAAACCTTTACTTGTTTCAAATTGTGAAGGCTAGATAAGATTTGATGACTCTGAAATGAATTCCAGTTTGTATGACTGAGCCTTCTGCGTTTGTCTGTGTTTGTTTTGAGTAGAAGTTCATTGAATTTGAAGACACTCATGAGCAGGAGAAGAAGGACCTGCAGAACCATGTGGACCGGATGGAGTCTCATTCACGGCAACTGGAACTCAAAATCAAGAACTATGCAGACCAGAGTAAGCACACACAGACACAAACACTGATTCTCAGAACTCAGAATTTTATCACAATCTTTTGTACTATTATGACAACAATAAAGATTATGATTAGCAAAAACTGTTTGTTACTTGTATTATAGGTAACTGTATGACTGTGTGGCACAGTAGCACCACATAAACAAATACTGCGTTTGAAAACCTTCCGATTTGAACTAGACCTCTTAAGAATGCTATAAAAATGTGTAATTTTATATCACTAAACTGCACACAATAGCTGCATTTAATAATATTTTCAAAGTTACTCATATTTATTAATTCTTCAAAATGAAAATGTGGACAAAATGGCAAAAATAACATTTCCGGACATACTTTCATATTTTTATTTTATTTAACATTAATAACTGATATTTATCATGACAATAACAAATCAGAATTATTATCATGATAAGAAATTTTTTACAATAATTGATAAACGATATGATAAATGCCTATCCCTAGCTCATGGTGGTTTGATAAAATGCATTCACAAACCCCTTACACACTTTCACTACTGAATGCCTGAACACTGATCATAAAACCTAAATGTACCTGCCACCTAATTATAATTCATAAAAGAATAAATTATAATCCTCACTACTTGGTTGTCCGTACATCCAGTTTAATCCGCTTGTTTATAGCTGATTGTCTCTATATAATGTAGGTATAGGTGAGTGTGGAACGGGAAAACAGAGAATGGAAAATTGACCATTTAAAAAATTAATAACTATAAATCTGCCATAAATTCCTATTAATAATTCACTTTTACATTCAGTCAGAAATTGTGTGGATCTTAACACTTCAAATATGTTGAAAACCTGAAAGTCGGTCGATCCATGTAAATTTGGCCTGTATTAGAATATGAAGCTAAAATACCTGATACATACTTTTCAGATTCGTCTTTGCGCTGGGAAATGGTAATGTGATTATGGGATTTGTGTCATTTCCAATAATACTGCTGTGCATTACCACTCATCTCACTGGATTAAGCGACAGAGGAGAATTTGGCTAATACTTTCTGTCTTGGTGGAAAATTTTGGATTAGTTGTGCACAAAGCAGCAGAGCTGGTTAAAGTGAGTCATTCACTTAGAGCTTCGAAAAGGATAGATGCTCATTTATTTCCCTATATCCTTGTATTTATGTTTCTCTTTGACTCACTGAGTGCGAGAATACATGTCGTCATATCAGTGAACACGCAGTTTGATTGGTCAGGAGTTGGAGCTAAATCATTGCCACTCCCTGTGGTAAATCATTCATCCGTTCCTGCATGTTGAAGTGCTTGATCCGATTGCTTTTAGAGTCATAGTCCACAGCTACTGTGAAGTCGATAAGGCAATAGTTAGTGGAGGATTAAACACAATCTCAGTGTGTCAGAGAACTGGCCAGACTCATTGCACTGGTCTTATTGTTATCTGAATATGATTAGTTAAGGTGATCATTCTGTTGAACAGATGTGAATGAATCAAACACAGAGCATATATTCCTGCAAATTTCTGTTTCTGCATTTGATCATTTTCTTATGTTTTGCTTTAATTCACAAATGGAAATTACATAATAACACTAATTATAATAATATGTTCCTAATATTTATCATAATCAGAATGTTTACATTTATAGACACACCTCCATGTTTACCAGTAAGTGACATCATGATAAAAAATCTGCTGAACACCTTTTACACATGCAGGAAATGACATCATGTCCTTTCTTCCTGTGTTTTTTTTTTTTTTTTTTTTTTGCATATCCTGTTTAGGTGGATATACAGTTTAAACAGATATCTGTCTACATATATTGCTTAGTTGCACTGAACATAGGGAAAATAAGTTGATTGTAAAAATTTTTGTTTTACAGTGCAATATTTATTGCCACAAATCTACATTTATATACTCCTCCCTTTGAAATGCTTTCAACTCAAACTCTGACCTTTAGCTCCTCAGCAACGATCTATTGAGCAGGATGAATGTTCTCATGCCAAGCAGTTTTTTCAGCTGGGAGACATTACAGCATTTTCCTAATACCCCTAATCACAGTTATCTCTTGACCAATGACCACTGGAGATCAGCACCACAAGCAGAAGCAAGTGACAGTAATCAGATTTTTCTTCTTATTTGCACACAAAAAAATATTTTCATTGTTCTTAAGTCCAACTAAACAGCATTGCTACCAGGTGTTAAAATCAAAGCTATAGATGGTCCAATATAAAGTACAATGTAGCAACAACAGAACTTTTTTTCCCCCACATTAATTTATCATCCTCACTCAAGAAGTTGCATAAGACATCTCTGTTCACTTCCTTATTTGTCTCTTGAGATTTGATGAGTCAAACCAGCTAAATAAAATCTCTCTATTGGTGTCAAAATCCACACTCGAGTGAGACATCATCCGGCAACTTGGTTACAGCTGGAGCAGCTGTAATTGATAGTACTCAGGCTTTACTCTGTAAATCTGTCTGCAGCAGCGGCTGACAGCACGGTTTAGTCTAAAGCTGGTTCACTAACAAGGGATTATGTATTTTGCCATTTTGTTCGTTGACCCAACACTGAAACTCTTTTCATTAATAATATTCCCTCTGCTTCCTGAAAGGTTAGCCTGGATGAGTGAAAAGTATTTATAAACTTGGATTTATAACGTAGCATATTACACATTCAAGTCAACAATCACATACAGGCTTCAAAAATCATTTAAGTTTATTTTTGTGCTGGTTTGTTCTTTCACATATTGTGATATTTTATGTATTTCTGGCATGTCTCCCTGCTTTACATGTTTAAAAATGACCATATGAAACTGAAAAGTGTTTCTGTCTTATTCAGTCAGCAGGCTGGAAGAGCGAGAGCTGGAACTGAAGAAGGAATACAACTCTCTGCATCAGCGGCACTCCGAGGTACAGAGAAAGAAAGAGGAGAGAAGGGAATGTTATAGAATAAATAATCAATATTCTGAGTGTTTTGCCTTTACTTCTACAGATGATCCATAATTACATGGAGCATGTGGAGAGGATCAAATTGCAGCAGATAAATGAAACATCAGAGTCTACGACTGGTGGCCGGGTCAGGTGAGTTGTTTGGGTTTGATGGCTAGGAACTTGTTCACATTTAATCAGTCTCATTTCTTTTGTCTTTTGTGATCTCAAACCATTTTTTGAAATATCCCTTCAGGAGAGAACGTCCTCTTTCTTTGGGGATTTTCCCCTCCTCTGGTGGAGCGTCTGTGATAATCCCAGATTCCCACACCAGAGTGGAGACGCCAGGCACAGAGGGCTGGAGGTTTGCTGACTCAGCTCAGCTGTGCTCCAACACTAGCCTTAAGGTGGGTGTCTTGGTCGCTCCTCCCTGGATTATTTTAGTGAGATTCTTTCATAGAGAGTAGTTTCACGTCTTATTCAGCTACATCAAGCTTCCGATACACAAAGACATTTGGAAAAAGACTTTCTGTCATGCGAGGACCTTTGTCTTCACATGCCAGGTTCTGGGCTCCAGAAATCGTCCGTCTTTCTGCCCATTGTTTGTCTTTCTGAATTAGAAACATTATGAAAAACAAACTGACATCACATCAAAACATAATTATACAAAATTGATTAAGTTATTTAACCACATATATTGCCTGTTCCAGGTTTTTCTACTGAAGCATTTTAACCTATTAGCTTGGGCTCTGATCCAGTAAAAACATAAGAGTGTCTTTGATGGGGGTTGTGTGTGTGTGTTTTAGTTGGCCTCTGACAACACCACCTCTGTTGTCAAACTCTCTTTTAACCACTGATGAATATGCAAGCTGCCTCTCCCTTAGTGGCCAGTGGAGATAATTAAATGTGTCACTTAAATGTTTATTATTATTACCTTTTTCACTACAGTTTTATTTCACTAATAATTTGCACTTATCTGAAAAAGTGCTTTTTCCCATTTACAGATATGTTATCGTTATTTTCTTGTTCCATTTAAAGGGTAGTATTATGTTAAAGCAACTTTTTGGAGTTTCACCTCATGTTTTGATGTCATTCATCATCAAAAACACACCTGGAGCGTTTCCTTGATTCTTTCATGCATGCTTGAGAAATCCTTGAATCTCCCATGGCAACCATTCAGCTGTACAAAACACTTGGAAGGACCGAGTGTCCACTTCAAGGACCGAGCGTCCACTTCAAGGACCGAGCGTCCACTTCAAGGACCGAGCGTCCACTTCAAGGACCGAGTGTCCACTTCAAGGACCGAGGGTCCACTTCAAGGACCGAGTGTCCACTTCAAGGACCGAGTGTCCACTTCAAGGACCGAGCGTCCACATGGAGCCTCAGTTTCCAAGTTTCTGAACTTTCGCTTTGCTGACTTTCCAAGCACACAGTTTGGATAGTTTCTTCCCTTAATAAATGAAACTCTAATGTAAATACAGAATTCTGTTATTACTTAGTAATATTTGATTATAAAATTAGTTTGATTATTGACAAAGAAGCAAACTGAAGTCGTAAGAGAGCAGATTGTTTTCCACAACATTGTGTGTTTTTTGCGAGTATCAGCATTTTTAATTAATGTACTGGGATTCATTTTAAGCTTTAGGTTTCTGTTTCATTTCATTTCTGTTTCAAGGAAATAGTAATATTAGAACACATATGTTTCCTCAGTATGTTAGAGTGTGGCGGTTTGGACCAGGAGGGTGGCAGCATTAGCGCTACAGAGCAAAGCATGATGGGAGCGATGCCGATGCATGGTCAACATCCATTCACTTAGAGAGAAAGCTGCAATCCGATTGGCTATTATATATTCAGAAGAGGTTCATTGTAAAATCTTGGGACTTTTTTAAACACAAAGAGTTGTTTTTATGCACAATGGCTTTTTTGTTTTAACAGCTTGGTCATATTCATTATATCTCAGATTTTTCCCGCAGCCTAAAGATATGTTTTTTATTTAATTACATGCATGTAGATGCATGTTAGTCATTGTCTGCAGTATCATTTATTTACATAAAACCATTTCATTCCATCTAAAAATTTTACATTTACAGTATTTACTTTTAAAGGATAATATTTTTACAGCAATTAAATGTGTCTCCTTAATGTTAACAGTGATTCAATAAATGATTGAATTAAGTGCTAACAGCAATATCTTTGCCTGTGAAGCTTTAATGCAAAGCAATGAATTGAGAATGATTTCAAGCACTGTTTCCTTTTAAGGCAAGCATCCTGCAGCTGTTCTGTCCTCATTAACACTTTCCTGTGAGCTAACAATAAGATCATTGAAATGAAGCCAGCAGGTCACTGTAAGGCAGACCTATAACACAGTTCAAAAGAGATTTCAGTCAAGTAAAGCTGCAAAATATATCAAATTTAATCTCTCAGTACATATGATAATGCAATTACAGCTTTATGATTGTATTTGAGGTTCTCTGCCCTTATACTTTTAATGCTAATAATTTTCTGACATGAATCAAGACCCTGAAACCTAAAGAGTATTGAGAACATGAGAAGAAACGATGAGAATAAATGGAAACTGTTGGTTAATCAGAATATTTGAACATAAGGTTCTGATTGCAGGTGTAATTTTATGCAATCCTGAAATTTATTTCTCAACACTCAATCAAGATTTGAAGCAAATTCCCAGCATAAAAACTGAAGTGGTAGTTTTTCAATATCAGCCAAAGTTAGTGTTTAGTTCCCCCCTCTCCATAAATATCTTAACTTCCCTTAAATAAAGTGATTATGCATTATTTTGCATGTAATATGTGTCATTTTTCAGGTCTGTGGTTTCAGAGTGCAGATTGGACAAAATTGTTGCACGTAAGAATTACTGTAACTTGATGATGACGAAGGAAAATACAGAAATCATTTTTAGGTCAATTTGTGTTTCAAATGGCTTTTTCTAATTCTATACTTTTCTAATTTAAATAATTTATGTGCTTTATTTGCGGTAATACGCTGAGGAAAAGTGAGAGACGAGCTGAGTAAAGATGTTTCTGTTGAACAATCATTAGTAGCTGAGCTACACAAATACAGCTATTAAATGAAAGATTAGTGAAAGATATTTTTATGACACAAACAACTTCAACAATCAATTTTACTGTTGTAAAAAAAATAGTGTTTTTGTTGTCTCATTGTTTTGCTCTTTACATTTTTAAACTGAGTTAGATTTTTTGAGATCATCTCAAAACACTCAGTCTCCTCTGAGCCAAACAGAGGTTTTCCACTTCAGTGACCACAGGCTTTCCATTCACTTCATCGTCATGCACACTATTCATTTCTGCTGAACTGCTTCTGCACATACAAGCTTCATTCTTACTCTTCCCCCCCCTCCTGCAAGCAGTTGGACTTTGTCGACCCCCAAAAGGAAAGGGAGGGTAAGAGTGCGCAGGACCCTGCTTGGGGAAAATCACTGGCAGACGACTGCAAGGTAGTTGGACGAGTGTCTGTGCCGGCCGGCACTCTGGCTGCTGATACCACAGTTCATTGTTTGCATGCGTGTCTTCTGTAGTTTCATCTTTTTCCAAAGAGTTGCATCACTTAGAGAACCTCACTTCAGAGACCCCCTGTGCTGTGCAGCGCCACATGCAACCATGCCTCTGTCTGAAGGCAAAACCAACATCCACATATAGGAACTGCTTAATTATTTACGTGTTAATGCCAACAACAGCCTGGTTGCATCTGGCCTCTTTTCATTTCAGTTGAAAAGGCGCAAGTTTTGGATTTTGGTTGCTTTATGCTTGTGCTTCATTCGTGTTCATTAACCATCATGGCGCTGTACAATCGCAAACCTTTAAATCTTGCTCTGTGCTCTGTGCCTCCTAATGTTGTAGTTTTGTAAAAGATTTCTTTGGAAGCAGCTTTTAGTTTATGATCCTCCCTGGATTAATGTCGTGTAGATTCATCCTGCTGTGTAAATCCCTTCTGTGTAGCTGTTCATGGATGTTGTGCTAAGCCCTCCACAGTCTGTAGTGGTTTGTCAACTTTGTATTTTATCTGTTTGTTCTGTGTGTTTTGTGACCTGAATGTGACTTTTCATTTTATAATATTTGGCTTAATTTGCCATTTTATTTAGATCCTTAAAATTTTTCTGTATCTAACTAATTGCCTATTACATAAAAGGATGAACTGTCAAACATCGCTGGCTCCAAACTGGCAACACCGAGATCAACCATGCTTGCAGACATAGAGAGAGAAGACGGGGACAATAAGAGTACAGAGGTCCAGGTTGCACCAGGAACCAGATCCATATCAGTCGGTACGCTCTTACATCCAGTGCATCATTCAGTTGTTGTTTAACTTCAAAGTATTTTATTCAGATTCTATCTGATTTGCCAATGAAATGGGGAACCAAAATAAAATCTGATGCAAATTGATGCATGTTTTTTACATGCAAAACTTTGAGAAAGGTGGTTTGGATTTCAGTTCCGCTAATTAATATTCTGTAGAAGCACCTTTTGTTGTAAAGCATGTCTTTCCTAGCAAGACTTTGCACATCTTTGACAAACATTTTCACCACTTTTCTTAAAATCTAGCTGAAGCTCACTCACATTGAATGGAGATCATATGTTGCAGTTACATTTAGGTTTGGGCTTTGACTGGGCCATTGTAACATATGAATACACTTTAATCTTCCCCATTCAATTGCTGCTGTGTTTGGAAGCTGTGGGTTTAGTTTTACACAGATACACTGTAAAAAACATCAGATTAAATTGGACTGTGCTCTTTTTTAAAGATCTTATTTGCAGACAAATTGTTGAACATTTTATATATTCAGAATTATGCACTGTTTTGTATTAATATGTCACATCTTCATCAAATCACATAAAACTACTTAACTATTTAATGACCGCTTTTCTAGATAGTTGACCTATCTAGGACACATACTATGGCACACGCCTTCAAACTTAATATATAAAAATGTTTTTCTTTACTCCCAGATATAAACCTTTTAGTTTTCAACAAGACGTCTTGTTCTCTAACTTCTCTTAGTTGTGTTTGCTCTCTGTCTCGTGTAGGTTTGCCTGACAATGAGGAAAACTCAGAGGTGCAGGACATTATTGAGTCCACACCAGAGCTGGACATGGATCTGATTGCTTACAAACCCTGCAGGTAGAGCAACAGGCGCTTGGCTTGCATCAAGTTTTCTCTATGCTCTAAAACAGAATCTTGTCATTACGGCTACTCTTCCAGCACTCCCACGAAAGGTATCGAAAACCTGGCATTTGACCGAAACACAGACTCCTTGTTTGAGGAGCTGTCGTCTGCAGGCACGGGGCTCATAGGAGACGTAGATGAAGGAGCCGACCTGCTGGGTGAGTTAAAACTACATTTGAACAGAAACCATTCCTGGGGGTATTCCAACTGATTTGTATGAAAAAAGCTGCTATGAAATGTTTGGATTTAAAAGTGATTGCTTTTATCTTGTAATATTCACATTTGTCTAATGAAGCTTCATTTTCAGTTTTTGGGTGCTATGTGAAATGCTACACCATGGTCAAAGAAAGAATGTAAACAGCATTCACATTTTGTGTGGTTTCTGAGTCGTCAAAATTAAATGTTTCACACTGTTCTATTTGTTTGTCTTTCACACATATTAAGAAGAAAAGGTGACCTGGATTTTTTACGCTTTACCATCACAATGAGTGACTTTGACCTACCTTTAACTTTGCCATGTACTTCAGAACAGTTATATAATTTGGCATTAACATTTTATTGCTACTGTTAATCTGTTTAACTTTACTGCAGTGCTTTAGGAAAGTATTTATACCTTGAACATTTTGTCACTTTACATCCACAAACCATCTGTGTTTCATTTTCTTTCATGTAGAACAAATGAAAGCAGTGACAAACTGTGAAGTGGAGGGGAAATGAAAAAAAAAATTACATTTTAATTTCAAATAAACATCTGAAAAGTGTGGCCTGCACATGCATTCGACCCATTCTACTGATACCTAGAATTGATCTAGTTCTTGAATTGGGTCTACCTGCTTATAATTATTATCAGTCCATCCTGGATTTTGTGATTGTTTTTGTTATTTTTTGCAATAAAAATCAAAGATTTTGTGGAGTCACTTAGAAATATTTGCTGGAAATTTCTTGATATTTATGCTTATCAATGATGCTTAATCTGACTCATTCCTCTTCAGAATGACGCATTTCTTTAAGTTGGTCTGTGGCAAGAAATAACAATATATACAGATATTGGTTTCCATGTTTTGTGACAAAATAAACCACCAGCTGCAGCATAATATAGCTAGTAGTGGCCAGTTTCACCTGCTCCACACTTCTGTTCCCCACTGTGTGCTCTGGTCCAGCTGTTATATTCTCCCTCAGCCCTATATCCATGGTAACATCACCTCTCTCTCTCCTGTATCCCATTCTCTGCCTTTTATCCATAATCCCAGTGGAGTACTCTGGTGTGTATAATCTCAGCATTTTCCTCTAATTTACAGTTTTCTGTCATGCCCCCTTGACTTCTCCTCTTTAGTCACCCTTTATCATATGCACCATTGGTATATCTCAAACCTTCATTTTCATTATGTTAGCTGGCATTAGTAAAACACGGTTTATTCTTCGGCTTTTTTTTTTTTTTTTTACAAGGTTTCCTGCATGAACGATGGAGTTGAATCCTTTCTGTTCTCAGCGATAGCCGTATATTTTTATCCTCGTATTTTTATTCCTGTCTTCTGGTGCCTTAATAATCAAATGTAACCAGCCTGAGAGATTTGGAAGCAGCTCTTCCTTTATGGCTTGTGGGGTCTGCTGCTACAGATTTAGCTCTGGCTCCTTCATCATTTTGGTCATTTCACTGTCTCATGCTTTTCTCCATTTCTCTATCTCTCTCTTTCTCTCTTTCTTACTCTTCTGCCTGACTCGGATTGCATGGTTTTCTCAGACCTTAGTTTGATTGGTAAGACCTCACCTGCTCTGTCCATTTCTCTCCAGTCAGTCATGTGACCTGTGCTGTGCTGCTGAGTGTCATTGTTGTTTTGTGAATGTAGCAGATATTCCAGTAGAGTTTTTCTGTGTTTGTTAATATTAGCTTGCATTTTGTAGTTGTAGTGCTAAAATCTTAGTACTTTAGATAAATGTTAATTTTCAAAACCAATTTAATGTCTCCTGGAACATGAGTGTTGCTCTCTCTTCTGTTCAGGAATGGGTCGCGAAGTTGAGAATCTAATCCAGGAAAATTCACAGCTGCTTGAGACAAAGTGAGTATGCAAAAAAACAAAAACACTTGAGTGTTTGAATTTACTTAAATTTACCTGTGCAATAACTACATTTTAGCTGTTTTTTTTTTTTTTTTTTTTCAGGAATGCTCTGAATGTAGTTAATAAAGACTTGATTCTGAAAGTGGATGAGTTGACTTGTGAGAAAGACGTGCTGCAGGGAGAGATGGAGGCTTTGGTGCTGGCAAAAAACAAGATGGAGGAGAAAAACAGAGAGTTGGAGGATGAACTGAAAAAGTAAGTTATAAAGCTATATAAGTAACATGTTGGTTACTTATATAGCTGCCAGAACTGTTATGTCTCCAATTAATATATTCATGAACTTTGAACTGTAGCTCAGCTCTGTACCCCTACATTTCTGCCAAGTTTTGAAATGCAGGATAAGCTTATCAAATATTGTTGTCTAATTATTATTTGACCCCTTAGGAGCAGAGAAAAATAATTCCCAGACATCAGTTGATGTTGTAATCTGAAAATAAACATAAAGATGAATTGGCCATATCATTGCAAAGTAATGACACAGCAGAACAGTGTGAATTTTACCCCTGGATAAAGAATGAGTCAGATGCTTCAAAAACATATCAAGACTTAATGTCCAAACCTCCCCTTGCCATTGTTTTTCTCACCTTTACGCGCACATCACTTGTTATTCTGTGCTAGCATACGAGGCAACAAAGGAAACAATGTGACAGGAAAGCCACAAAAACTTTAGAGACCTGACTCTACTTTGCTTTAGAATCTGATTAATGTCAACCAAACTTTGGTCTCTTATCTCCTCTTGCTCTGCTGCTGCAGCTGAAGGTATTTTTTTGACTCAGCTGATTTAAGCTGAATAAATACTACAATTGCACCAATAAATTCACTTCAATTTCTTTGTTATTGTGTGTTAAAGAAATTATATTTCTCTGGTGGTGCATTGAAAAATATGACAGATTTTATAAAACCAAATAATACCTGAAGACAATATGAGGATAGCATATCACCCATGAAGACTCGTGAAGCATTAGTCTTTCTTGTGATTTAGATATTAGCCTATGACAACAGTGTTAGTTTTTGATCATAGCTCTTTAGAACCACAAACTAATAAACAGCTAAATATTTCTAGTACATATAGTTAAGTGAAGTAATTGATCTTTTCCAGGGTGCGACAGGAAATAGAGGAAGTGAAGCAGAAAAACAAAGATGAAGAAGATGTGAGTATCTTTTACTTTCATCTACACTGTAGATGTTCTTGCTTTTGTCCCAAAGATAAAGACTGTATTTCTGTCATGCTCTGCCACAGAGTGAGGTTCCAACAGCTCAGAGGAAGCGCTTCACCAGGGTGGAAATGGCCAGAGTGTTGATGGAGAGAAATCAGTACAAGGAGCGGCTGATGGAGCTCCAGGAAGCTGTGAGGTGGACGGAGATGATCAGGTCACTAAAATAACTGCACATAGTTTTAATTGTGCGTCTGTAGACATCAGCCAACACAATAGTCATAATGTCTTCTCCTGCAGGGCTTCAAGAGAAAATCCGACACTCGCAGAAAAAAAGAAATCGAGCATCTGGCAGTTGTGAGTTTTTCTAAATGTGCTTCATTACATACTTTTCTCATGACTTTACTCAGAAAACCTTTTTTTTTTTCAAGCTAACTTTACTTTAAACCCATACATCTGTTCTTTTCTTTTCTGGATTTGGTTTTGAATGGGCAGCATTAGGTAAAGAGGATTTGACCTTGTTGAACCTTGTTAAACTTCCCTTTACTGGCAAAAAACTGTTCCTGAGTTTTAAATGTATCTTTATCCAAAGTGATTGCAATGTTTGGTTGCTGATGTTACTAACTTCTTAGAGAAGACTCTCCTTGTGTTCCTGGATCTTTCTTATCTCCTGCCTGCTTTGTGCCTTTTGATGTTTTTTCTATTCTGTCTGCTCACAGGAAGCTGCAGGTAGCCCACATATGCAAATGCTTCTTGCTTAAAATTCCCGTTCATGACTCCATAATAAGACCATTTCTGCTTTATATATAGATCTTTTTAAAGAGATCATTAGCTGTATTATTTAGTATTATGAGGAGTAGTTCCACAAGGACCTAAAAGTCTTCAGCAGATATGTTGGATGCTTTATTTTATTTAGTTATTTAATCAGAATGCGACTTGATGCACAGTCAGTTACATCTGATGTGTTTCAATTAGATTTTTTTTTTTTAAAACAGTTGACCCAAATTTGGAAATAATCATTATTTGGATGTGTTATTGTAAATTCAACTGTATAAGGATATCATTGAAAGTGTTTTATACTAAAACTCCTAGCATGCTTCCTTGTTTGTCGTGGTACAGCAAATGTTGGTGCTCCTGTACTGTCCGGTTGGTGACCCCTGCCTTGCTCTTCCCCTGCACTCCTGTTTGCTTTGTTTCCCTCTCGGCTTTCTGTAACCTCACCCCCTGCAGCTTCAGCAGACTGTTTAGCTCCTCCTCCAGCTCCTCGGCCATGAAGACCGTCGAGGATCCGTCCAAATTAAAGTACAACTCCCCGGGCAGCCTGGTGAAGAGGAGCAGCACCTTCTCACAGTTCCCAACTGAGAAGTCCAAGATATTTGACTTTATGAATGAAGGGTGAGTGATGAAATGACATGGAGCGCATGAATACAGCGAACCTGTTGGCTAACGATGTTTCTCTACATTTATGTAGAACGGAGCAGTGCAGCTCACCTTCACACAAGGAGAAGAAGAAAGCCCAGTACCGACAGGTTAAGGCCCACATGCAGAAAGAGGACGGCCGGGTTACTGTGCATGGATGGAGCCTGCCAGGCAAACACAAGGTGCAAAATGTTGACACGGGCTTTCATTTTTTAAGCAGATTTGTGACGTTGTAATTGCAATGCACATTACTGAGATTTTATTTTAGGTTGTTTTAGTAAGAAAAATGTCAAGAAGAAAAAAAGGGATATACAGATTTTTTTTTGTTTTTTTGTCAGATATAAATCTGAAAAGTGTGGTGTGGATCTGTACGTAGATGCCCTGAGTAAATACTTTGCAAAATCACTCAAAATAAGTCATATTGGATGAATATGTGAACATCCCTTTTTAAGTTTTCCACAGATTCCAAGTTGGATATGGAATAGCAATGGATGCCCTTTTTTTATATTAGTAAAAAAAAAAAAATAATAATTTGCAACCTTGTGTTGATATATCAAACTTAAAGGTCCTAGTAAAATAGGTGAAAAATTGTGGGTCTAAAATGATAAAATATGAAAAAGTTCAAGTATGAATATTGTTCAAGGCAGTGTTGACACAAGTAAGACTGATTGTCATCCATTTTGTTGCATCTCATCTTTTTGTATCTGTTTAAAATGTTTTCATCTCATTGCCTTAATTTTTGATTCATGTTCTAGATTTTAACATTAGTCTCTTCAGTTGATGCTCATGCTTATATTTTTGTCAAACTACTCTTCATGATTCTTACTCACGCACGTTTGGTTTCTTCTCCCTGGTTTTGTTTCTCCAGGTTGCAAATGGAGGGCAGATGGAAAACAAAATGAACTTACCTGTCCCAGTCTACCTGCGACCTTTGGACCAGAAAGATGTTTCTATGAAGGTAAACAAGTGAAGAGTTTGAAAACATAGAACTTCAAACAGCAAATTTAAAGACTGTTGGTGTGTGATTTTTTTTTTTTTTTCTGAAAAGATATTTTTAACTAACTCTCTCTCTGTTCGTCAGCTGTGGTGCGCTGCAGGGGTCAACCTGTCTGGGGGTCGGATGGTTTCCTCCTTAGAGGCATTGAAGCAGATAAAGGGTTCCCAGAGCAGCCTGGACCAGCTGGAGCAGGAGAACAAGGTGAGGAGTTCATAGAAGTTTAATGAGATGTTTAAATGAGAGATGAGTGTTGGTTTATTTTTATTTGATTGCGTTGAAAAGCAGGAGAAAGGGGAGAAGGAGCCGACCGTACAGGACGAGATGTCCAGTCGTGTGTGGGTGTGCATGAGCACCAGTTCCTCCACTAAAGTCATGGTGGTGGATGCCACCCAGCCCACTGAGCTGCTTGAAAGCTTCTATGCCTGCAACACACATGTGATTTGCATTGCTAGCGTACCGGGTAGGTGAACGGCTCACACTTCATATTCAGTTTGATTTAGCACATATGTTAGTAGTTTAAAAAAATCATAATCTTGTGCGTTGCTTTCAGGTGTGTTGGATTCAGATTACCCCGCAGGGGAGGAGATCCCACAGGACCCAGAGGCCAGTCAAGGGGACGGGGTGTCGCTGGCCGGCAGCGTGGCCAGTATGGGCTCAACGGGCAGCGATGGGACGGCGCCAGCTGAAGGTGTCACCGCAGTTCCTCAGACAGCGAGCTCAGGTGTCAATGAGCAGCCAGCGGAGTACAGCGCCACTTCAGGCTCAGGTAGCTGTACATGTAGCATTTTAAAGGGACATGAACATAGCGTACCTATGCACAGCCAAAATAAGAGAATAAAAAAAAGACTTTTAAAACAGTTTCTGTGCATGTGACATCTTTAGATTCAGTAAAGCTGATTTTGATCACTTCCAACCATGTGCTGGGACACAATAGCGTCACTATTTCAACACTTGCGTTGTATAAATCTCTAGACATCAGTCTTTGACTCATAAGTTTGAAATACTAACATTTCAACAATCATTTAACTCTCTCTTACCTCAGTTGAGTTGTCCAGAGAGACAAGCCCAACAGAGGACGGGGTCCCTACTGCCGAAGAGGCAACAGAAGCGACGGAGGCCAACGCTGGTGTTGGTGAAGAAGGAGAGGAGGATCAGGGAGCAGATCCAAACCAGCCGGGGATTTACACTGAACACGTGTTTACAGACCCTCTGGGGGTGGGGCCCACTGACTCCTGTCCTGCAGAATCACAGAGGTGAGAATGATCAGCTCTGAAAAGGTTGGGACTTCAGACAGAGGGTAAAATAATAGGATTTACTCTGATAGCATTTATTGGTAAATTATTATGGCTGAGACATTTCCCTATTTCTTTCCCTTTAGGGGTTCTGGGCAGGACGGTGAGCCTTCCCTGCCAGAAGTCATGGAAACGTCAGATAGTGAAGTCCTGAGGATGAGCAGCGCTCTTCCAACCATGTGGCTGGGAGCTCAGAACGGATGGTGAGCACTGGAGCCCACACCAGAGGGCGCTGTTTGTTTAGCTGAAATGAAAGGGCGACGCCTCCATTAATGAGAACGTTTTTTGAAAGGAAGTTATGACACTTTAATAATAAATGCAGAATCTGATGATTTAAATGATTTATAACCTAAATTATTTATTTATATTTCAAAAGCCACCACTAGAGTCTTAAATTCATCTCTCTGTTCCTCCTGAAAGCCTGTATGTCCACTCATCTGTGGCCCGATGGAAAAAGTGTCTTCATGCCATCAAGCTCAAAGACTCCATCCTCGGTATTGTGTAAGTACAGTGTCAGATCTGCCACACATACAGAATATCCACAGTTATTGGTACCTCTGATGATGTACCAATCAATTAATCTATCAGTTTATTCACTCAATTAAACCAATTTTATCTTTAAATTACAAATGCATTCTCTCACAACAGTTAATATGCATGAGTAGAAAGGGAACAGGAAGAAGAAAAAGCATTCTATGAAATGAGTCTTTTACTGAAGTTGTGTAATCTACTAGCATATTTAAAAAAAAATATATATATATATATATATATATTTTTTTTTTAAATATGCTAGCGATATTTAATATCGCTACATTGATTAAATGCTGAACAATCCCAACTTTAAAAAAGTATTTTTTTTTCCTTTTGTAAAACCACTAATGTGATTCTCACTAGTAGTCCAGATTGTTTTCCTTCTTTGAAATATGATCAAGATATGGTGGATCTTCTTTTTTGTAAATATTGGTACGATGATTAAATATCAACTTATTTTAAGGCTTTATTCCAGAAGTGCCAATAATCGTGTCGAGTACACCAACATACAAGAGATCTCTCTAAATTATATAATTTTCTTGTTGCAGGCATGTTAAAGGGAGGGTCCTGGTAGCTTTGGCTGATGGGACATTAGCAATTTTCCACAGAGGAGCTGGTAAGTGTGTAACATTCAGCATCTGAAGAGTTAACATTAGTTTTATCTTTGGATCATGTGGAATTTATTTCTTTTACAATTTTCTTTTCTAAAACTACAAAGGCTCATAATGATGATTCAGTTTTTATGCTCTATTTTTTGCTGTTTCTAGACGGTCAGTGGGATCTGACCAACTACCACCTGTTGGATTTGGGGCGGCCGCATCACTCTATCCGCTGCATGACGGTTGTCCATGACAAGGTGTGGTGTGGCTACAGAAATAAGATCTACGTCATCCAGCCCAAAGCCATGAGGATAGAGGTACCGCAGTTCAATGAACCCTGTTAGCAAAAGGTCTGTAATGCTTGACATTCATTGCTATTTTTTTTTTCTTTTCATTTTCAGAAATCTTTTGATGCTCATCCTCGGAAAGAGAGTCAGGTGCGCCAACTGGCTTGGGTGGGAGACGGCATCTGGGTGTCCATCCGACTGGATTCAACGCTGCGCTTGTTTCACGCCCACACCTACCAGCACCTGCAAGACGTGGACATCGAGCCTTACGTCAGCAAAATGCTGGGTATGAATGTTGCTTACAACCCAGATTCGTTACATAAAGCCATATAAACGTTATCTGAGATCATGTTTATGGCTCGGTTATCACTGTTATTACAGTTTACCACCTGTGTGTTTTTAGGCAGTCCTGAACTGGTTCTTCTTCTCACTTCCATTCCAGGTACCGGTAAACTGGGCTTCTCTTTTGTGAGAATTACAGCTCTGGTGGTTTCCTGCAACCGACTGTGGGTGGGGACAGGAAATGGAGTCATCATCTCCATCCCATTATCTGAAGGTACCACAAACATTCATAACAACATCATCATTGAATTAGACCGAAAACATTTGCATCCAGCACCAAAATTGCCTGATTTTGCCAAATTTTGCTTTATAAACTTAGCAGTTTGCTTTGAGCATCTTATCCGTTAAGAAGCAGCGTTTTAGCTGCCCTGTCACACAACTACTGGGAATATGTAAGCAGTTCTTGCAGAGTGAATCACATGTAGAAGGCAAAATAGTTTCTGTACCTATTGTAAAAAACAACAACATTCATTTGGTATTCCAGTAAAATGCATGCTCGCTAATGCAAAAACACACCTACATAGCTCTGCAAGTGAGGCACATAAAATATGCTGTAATTTTTAAAATATACTCAAAAAGCAGAAATATAATTATACAGGATATAAACAATGTGTATCAAGAGTTGAGCTTCATTAGACCTGGATACCAACATGATTTCTCCTTCACTTCCTGCTTTTCCAGCCACTATGTTTATTCTCCTTGCCTGCCTCTTGTATATATTTCATCTGAAACAAGGACAGGCAGGGCAGAAATGATTGAAATTCTGATCACAATTAGAAAAAAAACTTTCGTGGCCATGGACACTGCTCTCTAAATTGCTGGATTTTTGTCATGTTCACTTCAACAAGGTCCTTTTATTAGACAATCTTTTTCAGAATACACACATTGTTTACATCTGCAGGTTTTATTAACATCTTCCTCTCTTCCCGCTACAGCTAATAAGACCACAGGTATAGTGCCAAATCGCCCTGGCAGTGCTGTCCGGGTTTACAGTGATGAGTGCTCAGAAGGCGCCATGCCGTGCAGCTTCGTGCCGTACTGCTCCATGGCCCACGCCCAGCTCTGCTTCCACGGACATCGGGATGCGGTGAAGTTCTTTGTCACAGTTCCAGGTGAGAGTCGAGGGCTGACGAGGCAAATGTTGGTAAGAAAAGGCTGTAATGTCAGGCGTGAATATTTATATTGTAACATATTTTTTCTTCTATGCTTATTCTTTGTGGGTTCTGTTTTATTTGTCTTTCCTTTGATGTCCTCTAAGGCACTTTGGATTGCTTTGTGTATGAACAATGCTACATAAATAAACAATAAACTTGCTTTGCCTTTTAAGCGATGAAGTAAAACAGCTTTGTTTGCCCTGTAAAACAAACATAAAAACATTTTCATAAGTATTTATGTCTATTTTCTAGTGCTAAATAAATAAATATCTTAAATGAAACTAACTTAAAAGGAAGTTTTCAGCTAGATATATGAGCTTGTTCAATAATTTCTTAACATTGGTGAAAAAGTACTTGTTCCACTGGCAGATTAATTCACAGCTTGGAAAATTGTATTGTTATAAGTAAATTATTGATTTAAAACAAGCTCTCACTCCTACATCTAGCTGAAAAGTTACTTGTTCGCTATGTCTTATTTCAAGTTTATTAAGAGTTTCATTAGTTTTAGTGATGTCATATTTTCTAGCTGAAATTTAAGTGCAAAATTTTGCTTTGACCAGAATTACATAGTAAGTAGCAACAGAAAAGTTAAGAAAAATTATTTTCAGAGCTGTAGTTTTCATTTAATGACAGGAATTATATTTGCAATTGTGCATGTAAGAAATCAAACCTTTGTTTTATTTTATTTATTTATTTATTTTTATTTATCTTTCTGTCCCAGGTCAAGCGATGCCACCTCCAGGCAGTGCAGATTCAGGTTCTGATGATCCTCCATCCGAATCCTCAGACTCGGCAAATTCTGAGCCCAAAACATTCCTGGTCATGAGCGGAGGAGAAGGTTACATTGATTTTAGAATCGGTGGGTCCAGCACACTGCAAACACAGCGACTCTTAAATGTGCAAACCTCTACTGTAACGCCTGGTGCTTCTCTGGTGTCTTGTCCAGTAATATGTCTCATTATATGTAGAAAATGTCTGTAAACTATTTGTCATTCATTCATTTGTTTACCATCCCCACATCCGGGCATTTTACGAGGGGTGTCTTAGATTTTTGTACACAGTAAAGAAACAAATTTAAAGTAAAAACACTACAGCTGACGTCCCGCCTGTTTACCGTGACAAAACATTGTTTATCTGACTCATCATCTTCCTCCGCAGGCGATGAAGGCAGCGAGCTGGACGGTTTGTCTGAGCAGTCTGGCAGCCAGCCGGTGGCGCCCGCCAAGGCCGAGCGAAGCCACCTCATCGTCTGGCAGGTCGCGACCCCTCACGACTGAAAAACATTGCAGATTGCTGCATAAGCCGCGGGGCCGTCCAGCAAGCCCGCATGTCCTGCTTTGAGTTTTTCCACTGTCCTCTCTGCCTGACTAGACAACTTCTTTATAAAAAAAAAACAAAACAATTACAAAAAAAAAAAAAAAACTAATTATTTTTATTCAGTGTTTTGTACCATTTTATTCCTCATAAATTTGAAATATGTAATATGTTATGTTAACACATGGAAACCGTCCAAATGCCCCCTGCTGCTGGGTTGCATGTTGGAAATGCTGGTGTAGAAGAAGAAGAAGAAGATCACACTAGGCATGATTGGACTGATCATGTTAATGTTTACCTAAAAGGATTCGTCTATGAAAGATTAAAGGGATATTTTCGTAGTTTTCTGCATTGTCAGAGTAAAAAGTAAAAGGATAAAACATTGTTCCAGAGATCAGTTTACAATTTAAATTCTAAAATCCAGGTTGCCACAAAAAAAAAAAAAAAAGACATCCCTGCACTTTGGTGAGGTTTTTCTGTGAATAGAAGAACCAGGTTAGCATTAGTTAGCATAAGGAAGTCCTGTATCCTCACTAAAATCTATTTGACCATGTTAGAGTCAAACCTCCGTCCCGTTGGTGGAAAAAAATAAATATCAGCTCAGTGCTTCCTGCTTGCGTCAGCTCATTGGCACTTTAAAATGTTAAATGTTAGTCACCTGCAATCTGGGGGATATGAGTGTAAGTAATGTAATTTACTGTCTTTTGTGAAGAGAAAAAACAAAACAAAACGTTCAAATGTTTTTTTCAGGGACGTCACAGTAACCAAATGATGGAAGAAGACAAAGGGACATTTTTATTTTTATGAGTTAATAGGTTTTAAGTTTTATTCATGTGACCACACAACACTAGAATCTCCCCATCCATCTATTTTTTTTATTTTTTATTTGTTCCTGTATTGGAGGTCTGCAAGGCAATTTTCATATTTGTTGCTTATTTTTTATGTTCATTTGGGAGACACTTCCATAAAGAGTGTTTTTAAAGGGTGACTGTAATATGATAGCAGGATGGCTCTATGATTGCAGATGTTTTAATTTGTTTTCATATCAATACAGCCGGGCCAAGTCTGACACCAAGTCCATTTGATAGCAGTAACTTTATATTGTGCGTGTGCCATTCCGGTATTTATTTTCTCCTCTGTTAAGGAGCCCGTTTGGACTCAGAATGTAACTTTCTACATGAACAAAATATCATAGGAGGCTATTGTGAACAAAATAGTCCAATGAGTTTACATGATTGTTAATAATGGTTAAATAAATTAGATTAATGTGAGCAGGTGTGTGTTTGTGTTGTTTTGAATCTGTGAAGTTCTGGGTGTGAGTTTGGATCGAGATCTTACGCTCGTAGATTTGTGCCAAATTTTCCATTCTCTTAAAAAAAAAAAAAGCAGTTAAGCTCTTACAACTTCGCTTGAACAATGATTCAATGGGTGTTAGATATTTCCCCCGTTAAACACTGCTGCTCCAGGACATAAATGACTAACTTTAATTGATGGAAACATAAATTCTGTCGCCTTTTAAAAAATAAGGATATATTTCATTTCAAGTTCATCACAATGTTTAACTTTTTGCTAGCAATCCATAACATCTTGTTTCCCAGCAGATTTTTCCATGTCAAATTATGCTTCTGCAAGAAAAAAAAAAATCACAATAGCTTTTTAAACATCTTGTCAGAACCTGAGTGCCGTTTTAGAACTGTAACATGGTTTCATCCAGAGGAGGGCAGTATAAGCTTAGCTATTTTTTCCAAGACAGCATGCATTGTTTCCAATGACTCGACAGGTAAAAAGTTTACAACTTTTCACCCTTTAAGGATCACAAAGAGTAGCTGTTTACTCAACCCTGACCACAAGGTTAAATATAAGCCTGAATGGTCATTAACCAGAATACTGGAATATGATTTCCACATATAGAGCATACCTATTTTTCCAAAAATTTGTCTGTATAACCTGAAATAATAAAGCAAACTCAGACAGAGCATCATTTTTTTCTGGACATCCTCTTCATGGTGCACACAGAAAACAAGTCAGTTTCCTCTCAGCCAGTAGGAGGCTGTCAAGCTTGTGTCGATGCAGCGTCTCCACACATAATCAACTCCCTGACATCACAGTGCAGAGCCCACCTCCCACCCACCCTCATCCTCTTTTGCCACACATGAGCCGACAACGATGCCGCAAACAGGCACACAATAGCTGTCTGACGTCACGCAGGCGAGGGATTCTGAGCCTGGATGACAGACTGAATTACAGCTGGGAGGCTGGATAGGATCAACTCATTTCATTTTCTACATGGAAAAAAAAAAAAAAAAAAGCACCCACTGTATTCAGCTTTAAAGACAGAAACATGAGAATGAAATGTAACAGTGAAAATTAGTTTGTGCTATGTAATAATTCCTAATATTGCAGCTGCAAGAGTGATTTTAGATATTTCAGGCTAAAAACAACAATCGTTTCTGTTTTTCAAGTTGTAACATTTCGTCTCTAATGATTCAGTCTGGCAGAAATGTGGCCTGCCCAAACATGAAACAAATGGAGCTTTGCATTGACTCAGACAGGCAGGTGGTCAGTGCTACCTTCACCTGCCTGCTGTGAAAATACCTTCCTGTCCTCTGACTGCAGTCTGCCTAATCAGCAGGCCTTAGAAATGGGGCACCATGGGAACATTCAGTCTGTTCAGTGTTTCCGCTGTTCCCTCCTGCACCCTCCCGCTGTTTCCTTTGGTTAGATTTCAGTTTGTTGATCTTTGGTTGACCATAATGAGGCCCGCATCCTTGTATAAAATATGTGTCACTGCAACATTTCTTGTCATATAAAACATGTGGTTGTGTTTTCGTTCTGTGCCCTGACTGATAAATTTGTACAGTGAGCTAATTTAGAGCCTGAGTGACCTCTCTGCCAACTCTAGCTGAGGATGCAAATTAGCAACTATCAGACAAATTCTACTGGGAGAACTGAAATGCATTTTTATCATCGTCATCATTATTACCCCTGGTGAATGCTGTGCAACTAATAAAGCTGAAAGCTATGTTTCAATCAAAAGGGTGTACAAACAATGGTAGCTTAAACGTGTGTGTATATATATGCAACCTTCTTAATTCTTTACATCTCTTCCAGCCGACGGTTTTTTTGTTGTTGTTTTTTTGGTATGTTTCTTAAGTTGAATAGTAAACTTCAGAGAGTCACTGTATTTCTATTTCTAGGTGATTGTAAGATGTTAGAAATGGTGCCAAGTCCATTTTATGCAAAAAAAAAAAAAAAAAAAAAAAAAAAAAAAAATATATATATATATATATATATATATATATATATATATATATATATATATATATATATATATATATAAAGAAAAAAAAATTATTAAACAAATTTCTTATAAGATTTCTTGAAAGAAAATGGGGTGGAGGATAATTGTGTGAATTGCTCCACTGCTCCATTACTATACCAGCCAAAGCCCTAGTCAGAGGTAAATCTTTTGATCATTTATGCTGTGAAAGTTGACACCCGTACCTGGTTCGGGTTTGAATATTGTTTTGACTACCATGACGTTAATGTAAATAGGGTTTGATGCAAACTAAAGAGGAAGAAATGTAAGACGTCTGGAAAGAACAAGGGAGTGGAGAATGTCTTCACAGTGCAGCTTCAGAAAACAACAATGGAGTGAAATGGATATGTTGATATTGTAATATGTTGATTAGGAAACCAGCTGGTAGCTGCTGTATCCCATAATTGACGTTCATTATTGTAGTGAATGCTGTACTTTAATAATATATGTTCAATGAAATTCTGCACGCTACTAAAAGTTTTCAAAAAAAAAGATAAACTGGCATAGATAAATATCATGCTTTCATCTATCAACAACTTCAAACTGAGAAACTCGTAGTAAAGGTGGAAGTCCTAAGAACAAAGGTCCACATGTTGAAACAAGCACAGCTACTAAGGATCTGAAGGTTTTACCTACAGTGTAGGAGATTCTGAAAGAGCTTTCATTTCTTTAAGAAATCTTTAAATGCATAGACATTATATTAGGAAACAAAAATGTTTAATATAAGGAAGTAAAGCAGGCAGAGAGAGTGTCATTCCAGATGTCTTTGCCTCTATGAAGGTTTATTTTGTTGGAAGGCAAATGATCTCAATCATCTTATTGGCAAATGATTTTGTACCAATAAGACATTCATTGATTTGTGTTTTTGCTGTAACGTCATTAACCTTTCAGCCAATCGACTCCACGTTGAACTAATAGATGAAGGTAGCAGATATGTAACACCACCCAGTACACAGTGTTCCCCCCACTGGAATCTAAAAGCTTCCTCTGGTCACGGTAGCGGCGTCCTTGGCCTCCCATTCAGGTGCTGCAGTATTTTCCATTGACGGGCCGGGCTAAAGTGTTTTCAGGTCCAACACAGGCATTCGTCATCATGACTCCCTCTATCGTGGCATGCTGTATGTGAAGCACCAGGTGAGGCCTGATTGCAGCTGGATGAAATAAGGCGGGGGGATGATATGGGCTGGCTCGAATGGGGGACTATTTATAGAGGAGGAGTAAAAGTGCTGAGTGGGGTTGGAAACGGGGACAGGGTTTGATGTGACATCAAACAGCAGCAGCAGCAGCAGGGTTGAGTGGTAGTGTGGGCGCAAGGCTGTTTGTCATCCTACTTTTTCAGAGAAAATCACACAAGCATGTTGTTGAATTGAGCTGAGTTTTATTTATATTCACCCTTTTACTTCACTCTATAGAGGAGAAGCCAGAAACTATTTACCTTAAGTATGGGTGAGTAACCACAGGATGCATATGCTTATTATTATTGGATGGTGCTCCGTACCAAACCCTTGTGCGGCACAAGGGTTTGTGTATAGTACTTCTGTGACGTGTAGGACAGAATGACATCACTGCCCAGCAGAGTGTGACAGGCAGCAGGGAGACGTGGATAATATTACCACCAATCCCCCCCCACTCCCTCCTGCTTCACTCACTCACACACACGCACACACACCTTATTTATCCCACCCTGCCCCAAGGCTTTGGTGTCTCTTTTACCAGTGACGCAGGTGATGAACTGTGATCGTTCTCCTCCGTTCTTTCCTCCATTTTCCCTTTATTTGTAATTTATTTTTATTTTTTTTTTTTACACAAATGTGCTTCTGGAATCAAGCAGGTTTCAGTCTTATGAATCACTGTGGTTTTACTTTTAAATTATGTGATTCATGCAGATGGTGTGTGTTTTTTTTTATTATTATTCAGAAAAGGTCATTTAGACCTTTGGGCCATCTGTGCTCTTTGTGATCTGTGTTTATGTGAGACAAACAGAAAAACTGAGAAAAAAAATAATCAGAAAAATCTTCAAAGGTAAAGTAAAAAGTTGCAGGAAAAAAAATGCTTCTGGAAATCTGATGGTTGAATGCATCCTCTGGTCACAAAGCATTCATAGTCTTAACATTTTTCACAGTGCAGAATTATAAATGATTTGTGGTTTTATTTTATTTTTTACAAATAAACATTTGCTATTTTAATCTCCACCACTTTCCCTTGACACTGCTAAATAAAATATATTGCGACTCTTTGCCTGCAGAAGGAATCCAATCAATACATTTAACTTCTAAATAACCACTCTTTAAAGTCACAATCTGAAAATAAAAGTAGTATGTCACAACGGATCTAATATGTGGCCATTCATTGACATAATCTAGCTTTGAGGATCTTTGTTGTAGAAATCTGTTGGTAGGGCAACTTTAGAAATCTTGTCTTTTTGGAAGAGGTAAAGGAGAGAGCTGAAGTGATGGAAAGTCCTGCTTGTCGTCCTAACTCACCAAGCCAGAGCAACAGAGTCATAAATGAAAACTGTATTGACCAGATGCAGGCCACATGTGGGATGATCCCATTTCCAGCCCTCCTCTATCCTCTCTAAAACCTCGTATCTCCTGCTGCCTTTGTAGCTTCTTCTCATCCAAGCCGCCTTTCATCATCCGCCGCCTGAGCCAGATGCTCCGCCTCTGTGATGTCACACCGGGAGATCCCACTGTTCTGGCTTTGATGCCCCAGTGTTATGTCTGATGTGCTCCCACCAGGGAGTCACAGCAGTGCTGACCTTTCCACAGCTCCCCCCCTCCTGAGTCAGACTCACTTGAAGACCTCCACAGAGACAGATAAGAAAATACTGAAGAGGTACCCCGCCTCACCAGAAGAAACAACAGACTTACATCACTGTGTGTAGGTGTATGTTCATGTGTGACTGAGGAAAATGAATGAATCCTCCTCTCTTTACATTTTCTTGAGGCG